AAAACTTAAAATATCAAGATTCAGGTCTTCATTGCAGGTCTCACCAGCCCTAATCCTGAACCACTCCCCAAATGTTTGAAGTCAGTTGCTTCAAGATGATCCCCATGAGCAGAGAAACCCGTCCCGCCCTTTTCCAACTTCACCAAATTCCTCTCTTTACACGGCTTATCGCAAACAAGACAAACCTTATCGACAACAATAAACTTCTCTGCACATTTCTTGCAGTAGACATGCCCACAGGAGCTAAGCACAGATAGTGACACCGTGTTGGTCAATGTGACCTTGCAGCTAGGGCATATATATGTCTTGTCCAGGGAGTTGGCTTTCTTCTTCTCACTGGTGTCTTCTATGAAGCAAATAGGAAAAAGGGTCTTCAGCTTTAGTTTCTCATTGCCTTCTGGGCAGACTGTGCTGGTGGATGGTGCGTCTACCTTAAGAGGAGCTTCTGGAGTAGCTGAGGGCAGCCAAAATGCCTTCATGGTTCGAAGTGCTTCCTCCTCATAAGAAGTAACCTTGACACTGTTTGCACCATGGAAGCCATTCTTGTCTCGGCTGTGATTTTTATCAGTGTATTGAGGTACCGCACCATGATTTTGTTGATCGAATGCATCTAGTTCCCTAGCTTTCTGCAGCGTTAGCCTCTCTTCTTCCTCTTCTTTCTCATGCTTCTGCTGAGCTTCATGAGCAGCTAGTTTTCTGCCAGTTCAAGAAGACTTTTAGCACGGAACCAGTAATACGGAGGAAAAGGTAACAATAAAATGTTGGATGTCAAATGATATCTACAGTCTTTTTTTCCACAGTTAAAAAGATCAAATCAGTCAGATAGTTGTAAATCCAGATAGTATGGTTGGCTATAGAAAACTCCCACTTTCTTTTTTTAAGTCTCGATCGAGCATCTCTTGTTGTACATAATTCTTTTCCCAGAGGCACCAGCACTTAATGCTCCTATCTCATCAAGGCAATGATCGGGAGACTTCTAGTGATTCAGACAGGAATTAAATACCACAGAAAGCATGTTACTGAATTATCTTTTGACGAAGGGACAGCTCAGATGTCAGCGAACATTAAAGTGTCAACCCCTACCATCAACCAAGTGGTTGGAAAATAATTCATCTTGCTCTCTGAACCAGCCATAAGAATTTTAAATTACTTCTGGGTCAATAGAAGAACCTATATATCCCAGCAAAAGCCACCACAATCCCTCTCCCTCCACACCACAGACTTCTTTCTCACATGAAAGCCCATGCACATACAGTGGCACAGATGCACAAAGATGGAAAAGGGATATGCTCTTACAAAATTATGACAATGCCCACTCAACAACCTTCCACAAGCCAAGTAATGCCCATGCCCAAAGGCTCAGATAACCAACAGTTCAGGACTCTGATTGCTATAATAATTTAGCTCCTACCTGAGGAAGACCTATCATGGGGACCAATAACCTCTAGCTACGCCTTCGGCAATCCAATACTCTCGAACACAGCGTAGAAAGTGACATCTTTAAAGACTGAGCTGTTGATCCCAATTAGTATAGTTAAGTTGTCCAAGTAGTAGCGCTGACTCATTAGATCGAACAGGAAAAAAAAAATAATTCCGCAAGCTCTCCGTGAACACTGACATAAGTATTTACGGACCAAGTTAAAGAGACACAAAACAGCCAACATTGCTAGAGGTCTCAACTGGACTGTGATATGGTTCAATACATCAATCGACTCTCTTGAACCGTCAACCAAGCTTCAAGTCTTATATGCCCAAACCGTTCAAAATACAATTTACGCAAAGAAAAGATTCCTACAGCACAAACAGCATATATTCAAGAATCAAACTTTGACCCGTCAGAACGCCAAGCAGGGAACCCAACGAGCTGAATTCCATTTCCGGACATCGGACTACCCTTTAAGGACACTAATTGGCCAAAACCCAAGTTCCATTCCACTTTAAAACCCTAAATTTGACGAAAACCAAGCACACGCCCCGCACGATCTCGGAGCCAAGCAGGAATCGAACGAGCTGAATTTCAAATTCGGACATCTGAATACCCTTTAAGGACACTAAAATGCCCAAAACCCAAATACCATTCCACTTTAAAACCCAAATTTGACGAAAACCAAGCACGTGCCACCGACGAACTCAAACCCCAAGCAGGAATCGAACGAGCTGAATTCCAAATTCGGACACCCGAATACCCTTTAAGGACACTAAAAGCCCAAAACCCCAAAAAATCCCATTCCCCTTCAAAACCCTAGATTCGACGGACAAGAAAACCAAGCACACGCCGCCGACGGAACCCGGACGAAAATACACGCGGGGGGCGAACTCCCAGAGGGGGACCCTACCTCTGGATGTCCTTCTTCTGGGAGAGGAGGGAGCGGAGGATGCACTCCTTGCAGAAGACGTGGCCCTTGAGGCAGCAGAGGGGGTCGACGAAGGGCTTGAGGCAGAGGGAGCAGGCGTCGAAGGGCTTGATGGAGTCCCGCCCCAGGCGCTCCCGCTGGGTGCCGTACCCGAGCTTCCGCTTCTCGTCGTACGTGAAGAAGGCGAGGTCGTTGTTGTTCTTCGAGTGCCGCTGAGGCATCGCGCCTGCCTTCTCCGAAAGTGTTTAAGAGAGAGAGAGAGAGGGGGGGGACGATGGATTGAGGAAGAAGAAGGTGTCGCAGAGAATGAAATTTGGGGATGAAATCGGTGCCCTACAGACATTGAATCGCGAACCGTCTTATAAAAGTCGCTTTTCCCTTTCTGTCCCCCCCGCTTTCGGGAAGATTTTCATTGATACCACGAAAAAACCCGGCGATATACCAAATTTATCTCAAATTAATTTTTGGGTCATTAAAGACGCGAATGATGACACCCATTCTGTTTCTTTGTTTTTTTTTTTATTTTTCTATTTCCGACAACAGGTTTGGAATAGAAGTCCGTTTGGCAACGCAATTTCAATTTTTTTTATTTATGGGATAAATTTTAAGCTCGGAAATAGATTTGGAACAGAAATGAGAAGTAAATTTTTTTTATTTTTCTATTTTTGGAATAGAAACAGAAATAATAGCTCTCTTTATTGCTTGCCCTCGCCGCCTCCCACCACGCCGATCGTACGCTGCCCGCCAACCGTCCGCCGCCCGCCGGCCATCCGAGGAACAAAAATTTAAGAATAACATACCAAACGAATTTCTATTCTAGGAACAAAAAATTTCTGTCGTTATCGAACGCTACTTTTTGCTCAGAAACTCATTAAGGAAATAGAAATAGATTTTTTTTTATTTCTAGCCAAAAATAGAACCGGAGAAGAGAACGGTTATCATTCGCGTTTTAAAAATTTCAAATTTGTACATTTATGCCAAATTTACCCCCAAACTGATATGGATTTTCATGTGTCATTCAACTTAATATTTTCAAGGTAAGATTTGATGGAAGCTAATGGAGGGTAAATATGGATTTTTGGTGACTCAAAAATTAGTTTAGGATATATTTATTACAACTGTACCAGTTTGATGTTTTTAATGATCCACAAATTAGTTTGGTGTAAATATATCGTACATAAACCTGTTTAGATTTTTCGTGATATTGATCCTTTCATTTAAGGGCAATCTCAAGCATTGTTTTGTTGTAGCATTAACGTGTAAATAGCTCAGTTCAAGAAAGTGTTTTGAGTAAAAGTACATTCGGTGAAAGTAATTGAGATTAGTATGCTATAATTGAAAAAAAATACATTAGAACGCAATTTTGGTATAATTGTCGTTTGGGAAAACAAAAATATCTCAAAAGCCTTTTGATATTCCAATGCAACAAATTTAAGCTTTTTACTTTTCAATTTGCTTAAAATTTGGAAAAAAAATAATGACTGCAATTTTGTTTTTCAATTTGAATGATGAAATGGAAATGTAAAAGAACCATATTAATAAAATTATAAATGTAGGAAAAAATCAAATTTCCTTGTGGCTAAAAAAAATCAAATTGGACAAATGTGACAATGTGTTCAAATGGATTTGAATTTTTGGATTGAGGTAAAACTTCACTTTGGATCTTTGCAGATTTTTATCAATCAACTATTTGAATTTTAAATTATTTGATAGGGTGCTCGAACTCTTAAAAGTGGGAGAAGAAAAGGCATGGGCAAAAAGCCTGACTAAAAATAGAAAAGCAATTGCTCCAGCCCCAAATTCGGACGACTAGAGCTGACGTGTCCATTGGAGCCGACAAGAGTTTCGACGTAAGAAGCTTCACTGTCGCATTGATAAATTTCATTGCTCAAATTCCAATTACGATCTTTATCATTAAGATTTTCAGTCTCGCAATTTATCTGATGGTTTACTTTGGCCAAAGATTTTCAACGTCAAACTCTTGCCAATACCGACAGGTATACCTACAGTTATTAACTCGATTCGATTGGAGAGATTAGGTAAGTCCCACAAATCTAGATTAGACAATTCAAAAGTTCAAGAATTTACTTGGAATAAAAGTATTCATATTCAAGGATGGAAGGTGGAATTTTACCTTGGATCAATTTACCAATGGGTAATATTAGTCTACAAGAATTGATTTGCTAAAGTATTCTTCTGCACGTGGAGTTCAGTTTACATAGCCTCATCCTAAGTCCCATATGACGTGTATCCACGCCTTTTAAAATTTCTATTATCTTATAAAAATTGGAATAAAAAATAATTAGAATGTGTTTCTACTTGGATAAATCCCTAGCAGAAAGCTCATTAAATGAGTCACTTCCCTTAGCTTGCTCGAAGGAAAACAAATCGAAATATCTCGCGCGAATTAAGATAGGCTCAACCGATACAGATCTCAGAATGCCGAATTTGAATGTCTAGATGGTCTCGCCTTTCGTGAGAATGGTTCTATGCAGAATTTCGTATGTGCCGGATCAATATTCTTATCAACCCAAAATTTCATTTAGCAGAAATGTATAGATTCTACGTCGCATCGTCTTGAAAATTAGACGGATGGTTCATAATTGGAATAATTCGAGATAAACGAGTTGTGTAGGAAAGGAGAAAAAAGCAGTATCGGGACATACCGTCCCTAAATTATATCCAAAGTATGAAATGGTAGATCGATAGTAACAAGGCAATCGAAAGCGAGAGCTCGCGAAAAAGTCAAGAAGAATCAATGGCTTCCTCCAACATCTCCTTGGAACCCTTCATCAAGCCGGGGCTCAATCTGAACATGAGCACGCAGAACTCCTTCTCGTCCAAGGTCCCGTCCCCGTTGAGATCGCCTTCCCGCACCATCGACCTCGCGTCCTCGTCGGTCATGGCCTGCAACCCCAGCAGGGACGCCTTCCTCTTCAAGCTCTCCAGTGTGATCACCCGCTTCTCCTCGTCCATCAGTAGGCGGAACCCTTTGCTCAGCTCCTCCATGAACCCCCGCGCGCCCAGCCTCTCGACCATCACCGGGAAGAAGTCCTCGAACGCCACCGCCCCGTCTCGCGCCGCCATCTCTCTGTCGTTAATTGCGTTCGGAAAAAAAGCCGATGCGTGTGTGTGCACTCGGGTGTGATTTGGTTTGAGATGGGAAGATGGTTATTATAGAGGAACCTCACCTGAATTGCGCGTGTGCCGTGGAAAAGGTCTTGGAGGCCAAGGAAACTGGGGCAGCATCAGTTGACAACCAAGGTACAGATCAGAGACACAGATGTCATGTGAAGATGGCTGCCGTCATTGGATGCTCATAAAGAGTTTCATGGGTTGTTTCTTTCTCTCTTGATGAATGAGAGAGAGAGAGCCCCAAGTTTCGTCGAAGTTGCGAGGGAAGGTGCGTTTTCACAGGTATCCATGGCAGAAGCAGAAGTAGAAGTTTCTGTCTTTACTTTTCCTTTTATTGCAGTTTGGGTTGGACGGCAATGCACGATAACGCCATTTCAAGCAATAACTTACACAGAGAGAGAGAGGGAGAGATTTGGTCAATATCTTAACAATGCAACTTTGCTTACGCCGTAGCTTGTCTGTATTTGCCCAAACGTGTTGGTGGGAATACCAGACGCTTCTGGTAACTTTGCCAGAAATGTAAAGATATATTTCCCAATGTACCGTACACTCAATGGCGGTTTGAACACGACCCTATCTCTCTTGTTATTACGTGTGATATTTTCGCAAATACAAAATAAGAATACAAGCAATCCGAAAGGATTTCGTACCCCGGCTTTCCCGACCCATATGGCGTTCGGGGAAATTACCGAAAAAATCTTAAACATATCGTGTGGTATCCAATTCAGTACTAAACTTTTTGATTGTGCTAATTGAGTTCTGACCTTTTGACGATTTGCCAATCTAGTTCTTCCAATCGATTTTGGCCAGAATTCGCTGACGTGAATGTCGATCATTCTACGTGACATGGCCGGCGGATGGTTAGCATTGACATAAACAATTTTTTTAAATTTTTTATGAATTTTTTGTTATTCTATTAATTTTTTTTCCTTTTATTTTCCTTTTTTACTTTTGGCTAGCAAGGGCTACGAGCTACCCCGCTTGTGGCTGGTGAGGGCTGCGACGTGCATGCCTAGACCAGGTGAGGGTCGCTAGCCTTCGCCTATGGCCGAGAAGGAATTGCCTACCCAAAGTAAAAACCAAAAGAAAAGAAAAAGAAATAAAAGTATAGAAAAATTTAAAGAAATTGCAAAAATTGTCCAAATTAACGCTAGATGTGCATAGAACGTCCGGCATCTACATTAGTAATTTCTGGCTAAAATTGGGCCGGAAGGACTAGATTGACAAATTGCCAAAAGGTTTACGATCGAATTTGGCCGTCGTACAATAAATTTATGATTTTTTCCATAATTTTCCCCAAGACCTTTTATCCTGACGATCAATTGCGGTCTTTCTATTTTTCTAAACCGTGTCACAGACGTCGAATACCAAACTTTTCATATACAAACTAGTAATATATAGGGGTCCCGCTAGCCTTATGGACTTGGGAAATGACCATGTAATCAACGGTTGTCTAAAATAATGGGAATATTTTTATCACAAGGTCTACTCTATCTTTCTCCTTAACTTACTTTTGGCGCACCATCTTGACCAGCTCCAAATTCCGATCGGTTGGTTCCCCGACCGTACTTTCCCCCCGTGTGAATTTGCCGCTACGGAACGCCAACAAAATAAATATTGACATAAAAGTCCACAAGACAACTTCTGTTTCTTTTCGACAATCGGAAGTACTCACGGATTTTGTATGATTTTGTTATGTTTGCGTTCGGTTTCATCCGTCGAGGGAAAATTATCCAATCAGCCCTACGCCTACTGTGCGAAAATCCCCGACGTGGACCGTCCTGTGTGGCATAGCGCAGCGTCGGCAGTTTCCGACGAAAATTGACCGGGAGGACTACATTAGAATTTCGCCCAAAGGTATAGAACTGAATTTGGATTCGTACTACAGGTTTAGGACCGCTTGGACAATTTCCCTCGTCCATCAAGTAATTGGAGCACGCTAACACCATGAATGTGCTAATCTTCATGGAGGGTGACCTGTAGAGACTAATGAATGTGGTTTGTGCAGAACTACTTCCAATTTCCCTTCTTAATTGCATTTTGTGGCACACTAATTCACATTTTCCATCTCCATTGTTGTGAACTGGTTCTGATATATAACAGTCATTAAGAATCAAGTGAAGTTTAGTTTCCCAAATAATGAGTCATGAACCCTCCTCCTTCTGTGCTGCTGCTGCTGAGCTTAAGGATGCTCTTGTGAACTCTTCATAGTACCAAGTAATGAGCGAATTACGTATGGATCGGTCTGGTTGTCGCGTTACGAGTATGAACAAAACGAAGAATGTATAACAATATTCGTCCCAAATCTGTGTTTTTTCCAACTGTATCGAAACAATATTTCGGCTTTTGATTGATGCACAAAGGCTACTTATACCCAAAAGTGAATTGAAATGGTGGATCAAGCAGAGAATAAGGAGCTTTTCCCCGTTGACCAATGAGTGACCGTGATAGACACCCAAGATTGATGCCGAAATAACATGTACAATTTACAGTAATCGCATACTTTTACCGAGCTTCGACAATTGTATCGGTTAAATTGTTTACAGAACAGGGCTTCTGGTCCTGTTGAGTATTAACATCAGCCTGAGTACTTGTGAATGCCGGTGGCTTCGGACTAGGAAGGTCGAGGATTTCGCTATTGAGCATCGATAAACAGTCGACATGGATGGCCTATCTTTCATATGTTCTTGCACGCACAGCAATCCCACATGAATGCACCTTAAAATGGCAATTTCATCACTCGGGGCATATATCACCGTGTCGACGAAAGCTGCCATGTTCTCCTCAGTCCACGATTTCCAAGCCAATAGACATTAGCAAAAGTCATAATGGAGCACGGAACAACTCAGAACTTTGAGTCACAATGCAAGTAGCAAGATAAGACTCACGAATCCTAGAAGAATCAAGGTCTGATCATCAGGATGGAAACTGGTTCAGCATCTTCTGCTTAAAATCTCTAATAACAGGACTCCGAAGCTATAGACATCGGATTTCTCTGAGAATCTACCGTGGATGACATATTCAGGTGACATATACCCACTGCATAATATTGCGATAAAATCGAACTTAAGTTTGTTGTAGAGCAATTTGAATAAGTAGGGGAAAGATGAGGGAATACTTACTATGTTCCAACTACTATTCTTGTTTTTGCTTGGTCTTGATTTCCTCCAAATATTCTTGCCAATCCAAAGTCCGACATCTTCGGATGAAGCCCTTCATCCAATAAGATGTTGCTGGCCTTCAAATCCCTATGTATGATTCTCAATCTGGAGTCTCTGTGAAGGTAAAGTATGCCCCGAGCGATTTCGGTGATTATACTCTGTCGCTTCCTCCAGTGGAGCTTATGACACGTGAGGGGATCTACATGAACGGTATCCAAAAGCAAAGGAAGAAGCATCGTGAATGAATAGTAAATCAGTGCATGAACTCTATCACTTTGGTTTTATTTTGTTTGATGCACATGCTACAGAAATGGAGCGAGCATGCTCATACCAAACAGAATCGCATCCAAACTTTTGTTCGGCAGATACTTGTATATCAATATCCTCTCATCTCCTTCGACACAGCATCCGTGTAGCCTGACAAGATTTCGGTGTTGGAGTTTCGAGATCACCATCACTTCGCTCATGAATTCTTGCAGGCCTTGTCTGGAGGCTCTCGATAATCTCTTGACAGCAATCTCCTGTCCATTTGGCATTTTCCCCTGAAAACAACCATACATATAAGCTTCAGAAGCATTTAGCAACCCCTAGTCAACCTCTTGAGAAGCTGAACCCTTACCTTATACACTGGACCAAAACCCCCCTGCCCAAGCAGATTGGACAAGTCGAAATTGTTTGTAGCAGTTACCAGCATACCGAAAGTGTAGAGCGGTAGGTCATGAAGTTTCATTTTCTCTGTCTCATCGAACGGCATATTAACACCAGAATACACCCGATATGCCTTCTCTCCTGTGGAGAGTAATAGCTCCATGCTTGCTGCTAGATACATAAGTTATAGTAAGTAACAAATACACTTCACCAGATTTTGGTGCATTCCAACACAACTGAGCAAAGATTGATCAACATGTGATTACCTTTCCTCTTGGCCATCCATCTGTGTAGGAAGAAAGAGAAGACAGAAGCAGCAACCGCTCCTGGGATCACCGTTGCAAGTATTATTACTTCCACTTTCCTGTTCTTATCTGCAATTTAAGAAGGCAAAAGTATACAAGACTGGAACAATTGAAACTCGACTCTAGAAGAACAATGAAAAACTGAATGAATGAACAAAGTGCAGCATACTCAGTTCTGAATCTGGCACACGAATGTAAAGATCGATTCCCCCTTCAGAGAACTTCTACATGTCAATCAAGTTTCTGGTCCATATCACGCAGCCGATCCCATTATTGTATGCATAAGCTATACAGGAACAATTAGCCAAGCAGCGATCTCCACATTCATCATCAAATGTAGATGACCACTCCGCAAAGTCCGGCACTTTCATGTTCTCCAACCTGAAAAACGCATCTGCTTTGCCAATTTCAAGACTATTGTTTGTCCTCTCACATTGCAGTGGTGTTCTCCTAACACATCCATTTGTCCAATTCCCAGCATTCCATTCCTCCTTGTTCTTCGGCTCAAAGCCTCTCACACAGCTGCAAATTGGTGAACTCTTCGGATTGCAAGACCCAAAGGAACCACAAGTTCCATAAACATCACATTCACTGTTTAAGGCCGACCATGAAATTTCCCAATCTTGCTTCCCATCATCCCAATATATCTGTACCAGGTTTCCTTCAGAATTCAATGCGAAGTTGGACAAGAGCGACTGGTTCACAAAATTATAAGTTAGATAAATAGTTCCTTCCTTTTCATCCACAAGATCGAAACCATAAAGATACACCAAACTCATGTCAGGGACTCCGATAAAAACTAGACCGTTCCAAGGCCCACTTCTCCAATATGGACTACCCATTTTCCAGATGAAAATTTCAGGGTTACTCTTGAGGGTTTAAACCTGCAGAGAAATTTCCAGCAGATGGATTGGAAGAGCTTTTCCAAGATCTAAGCACTTCCTTTCCTTCGCCATTGGTGATTTTCATGCTTGTCAAGAACGAGTCCGTGAGATGCCCAAAGCTCTCCCAAACAGTCACCGGACTGTTATTTCTCGAATCTATTTCTTGCAACACAAGGTTCCCAGAATCAAAGAGCTGCGCGCGAGTAGTGCTTTTGGCTGTTGTGATGCCTGACACGTTCGATGACCAGAGAACCTCATTCTGTCCGTTGGAGACCATGATGTTGCCGTCCTCAGATATCCTCACAGTCCCTGAGGAATCCTTGAGAGGCCTGTCTCGGTTGGCCACCCATATTACCGAAACAACAGAGACTTGGTTGTACCATATGGCCACATATCGATTGGCAGAATCCGGAGGGCTGAAGAATCCCAGCTTAAAGACGCTGCCTTCTGAAGTTACAGCATCCGGGTCTCTGATGAACTATGCCGGGGTGATGGAGTATGCGCAAGTGAGAAACTTCAGATGACACGAGACGAGGAAGAGAACAAGAACCAAGAAGCTTGTAATGCCAAGCAAAACCATTGATGTATCAGTTCCAGGTCTCTTCTTGCTTGTGATGAGCAAGAAGATGATTTTGGGAAGTCAAAGATTTGAGCTCACTTCAATTTATTGTCGAAACACATTTTGCACGAGGTCTGTTGCTTCTTTTCGGGAGGATTCGGAGCTGAGAACCGCACATTTTGATGACCTTCTTATATAGGCCAAGAATAGAGATGCTTTTTTCATGCCCATTTCTGCTGTTATTCAGCTTCAAGGACACAGACAAGAGGGTGCCGGTGGTTTAAACGTACCAAATCCGTAAGAAAGTTCGTAAGACCACAACTTCTAAAATCCGTAAGAAAGTTCTTGAGACCACAACTTCTAAATTGCGTAGATTTTTTTTACCAAAAAAAAAAATTACATAAATTCTCTTTTGCTATTTGGCATTGGGTAAATGACACAAATAATCCCTCAACTTTGGCTCATCAATGTGCGTCATGCATCGGTCCCCGAACTTTAAATTTATTCAATGTGGTCCCGAAATTTAGCTTGCAATGTGTCCATAGAACTTTTAATTTGTTCAATGTAGTCCCTGGACCTTTGGTTCATGTTCAATTTAGTCCCTAAACTGTATGAAAATGTTAAGTGTTGTCCTCGAGCTTGAATTAATGGAAGGACAACAATGAACATTTTCACACAGCCTAAGGACTAAATTGAACATATATCAAAGATTCAAGGACCACATTGAACAAATTAAAAGTTCGGGGACCACATTGCACATTGGGCTAAAGTTTAGGAACCGTATTGAACAAATTTAAAGTTCGGGGACCACATTGCACATGTGTCAAAGTTTAGGAACCATTTGTGTTATTATCCCTTTGGCATTTGCATATTTTACTTTAAAAGATTAACGTTTTCTGGCAATAGAAAAGTTTTCTGATAGGTGTATATAAACTATAAGTGTATGTTTATTTCACTAAAAATTTTATGATAAAATTTTTTTTCTATGAAAGTCATTTTCAAGGAAATTGGTTAGTTTTTATTTGTTTGATGGTTTAGGGAAAGTGATTTCCTTATTGCTAAAGGAGCAGTAGTTTCCCTCCGATCTAAGCTTGTTGTTTGGTATTTAGTCTATGGAAAAATTTTCCGTTGATTGATTAGTTTTCCATCATCCAAACACTAGAAAGGTGGAAAACAATATCTTATAAATAGTTTTCCTTTAGACAAATGGACCCTAAACGTTGATATCATCCGTATATAGTTTATCGCAGAAAATGAATGATTTGAAAAATATTTTCCTTAAAATGATCATTTGAAATTATTAGGTAATGAGAAATATTTTCATTATCAACAACAATTTATGTTTAAACATTCTTATGGACGATGAAAATTTTCTTTGTTCAGTGTAAATATGTCACATAGATACAAGTTTGAGATTTTTAATATCGCAAGAAAAAGTTTAGGGTAACTATATGATAGTGGGCATAGTTCGGAGTTTTTGATGTCACAAAAAATGATAAGTATAAATGTGTCACAGTTGACATAGTTTTGGGGTTTTTTGTGGCTTTTTCCTTATTTTTAGTTTTGCCTTTAACCCATTTGCAGAAGGGAAAAAGCCACAAAAAACTCCAAAGTATGCCCATCGTGATACATTTACCATGAACTCTATTTTGTGACATTAAAAACTCCAAACTATGCCCACTAAAACACATCCATCCTAAACTTTTTTTGTGATATAAAAAATCCTAAATTTGTACCTATGTGACGAATTACTCTCCGTCAAGTTTCCTTTTCGCCCAAAACAATTTCGTTTTTATTTCACTTAAGTCTTGTGGCTACCATGTAAACACCGTTTGCTTTCTGACGTCTATGTAGGCAAATTTTTAACACTTTTCATTGACAAAACTTTGATGGAGGGTTAATGTGTCATATAGATATAAGTTTAGGATTTTTTGTATCACAAAAGAAATTAAAGTTTAAGGCAATTGTGTCACAGTAGGCATAATTTAAGGTTTTTGGTGATTTTTGCCTTTTTAAGTAATGATGGATATCAGATAAAGTAAAGATTCAATTGATGCACTCAATCCGTCAAATGAATGAGACAATCCTTACGAAGGGTATGGTGTAATCAGACTAATTTCTCATTCGGTAACACTGGAGGGAAGTACGTCACACTGATTTGCCTTTTTCTTTCTACATTTTGTGAACGATTCTCATAACAGTCATAGGAAACGTGAAGATTAGTTTCTCCTTCTATGCTGCAGCTGGAGAGCTTCAGGAGCCTTGTTATCTTGAATATCTATCCGCATTATGATGGGAATATCTTCTAACTCAACTTCGTCGAATGTCTAGCGAATACTTCTGGAATGGCCCTCTTAGGAATCACTCAGTAGATTACTACTTTGCAATAATTGCTATTCTGCGTGAATTACTTACAGATGTGTCTGTTTGACGGATAAGTTTTTAAAGAAAGCACTCGTACATAAATTTGAAGAACAATGATTCATGCCGAATTACATGTACAATTCCCAGTAATTTCCTGCTTTTATCGAGGTTCGACAATTGTAACAGTTAGATTGTTAACAGAACACGGCTTCTGATCCTGTTGAGTATAAACATCAGCCTGAGTGCTTGTGAATGCCGGTTGCTTCGGGCTAGGAAGGTCGAGAATTTCACTATTAAGCATCGATATGACAGTTGACATGGATGGCCTATCTCGCATATGTTCTTGCACGCACAACAATCCCACATGAATACACCTTAAAATGGCAATTTCATCACTTGGGGCATATATCACCGGGTCGACGAAAGCTGCCATGTTCTCCTCAGTCCACGATTTCCAAGCCTATAGACATTAGCAAAGTCATAATGGAGCCCGGAACAACCCAGAACTTTGAGTCACAATGCAAGTAACAAGATAAGACTCACGAATCCTAGAAGACTCAAGGTCTGATCGTCGGGATGGAAACTGGTGCAGTGTCTTCCGCTTAAAATCTCTTATAACAGGACTCTGAAGCTATATACATCGGATTTCTCTGAGAATCTACCATGAATGGCATATACAGGTGACATATATCCGCTGCATATTTTGCAATAGAATTAGATTTAAGTTCTTCAAAGAGCAATGTGAATTAGTTGGGAATAAAGGAGGGAATACGTACAATGTTTCAACTACTATTCTTGTTTTGGCTTGGTCTTGATTTCCTCCAAATATCCTCGCCAATCCAAAGTCTGATATCTTTGGATTAAGCTCTTCATCCAATAAGAAGTTGCCGGCCTTCAAATCCCTACGTATGATTCTCGGTCTGGAGTCTCTGTGAAGGTAAAGTATGCCTCGAGTGATTTCGGTGATTATACTCTGTCGCTTCCTTCAATCGACCTCATGACACACGAGGGGATCTACAGGAACAGTATCAAAAGCAAAGCAAGAAACACGGTGAATGATTAGCTAATCAATGGCATGAACTCTAGCATTTTGGTTTTATTTTGTTCAATGCTCATGCTACAGTAAAACAATATGGCACGAGTATGTTCTTACCGAACAGAATCGCATCCAAACTTTTGTCTGGCAGATACTCGTATATCAGTATCATCTCGTCTCCTTCGATACAGCATCCAAGTAGCCTGACGAGATTTCAGTGTTGGAGTTTCGAGATCGCCACCACTTCGTTCATGAATTCTTCCAGGCCTTGTCCGGAGGCTTGCAATAATCTCTTGACAGCAATCTCCTGTCCATTTGGCATTTTCCCCTGAAAGCAACCATACATATAAGCTTCAAGAGCATTTAGACAGCACTAGTCAATCACTTCAGAAGCTGAACCAGTACCTTATACACTGGACCAAAACCCCCTTGCCCGAGCAGATTGGATGAGTCGAAATTGTCTGTAGCAATTACCAGCATACCGTAAGTGTAGAGCGGTAGGTTCTGAAGTTTCATCTTCTTTATCTCATCGACCGGCATATTTCCACCAGAATACACTCGATATGCCTTCTCTCTTCTGGAGAGTAATAATTCCTTGCTTGCAGCTAGATACAAAAGTTATAGTAAGTAACAACCTCTTGACCGGGTTTCGGTGCATTCCAACACAACTGAGCAGACTGTTCATCATGCGTTTACCTTTACTCTTAGCCATGCATCTGCATAGGAAGAAAGTGAAGACAACCGCTCCTGTCATCACCATTGCAAATATAATTACTTTCACGTTCCTGTTCTTATCTGCAAATTAAGAATGGAAATGTTTACAAACCGGAACTATTGAAACTCGACTCTTGAAGGACAATGAATAATTGAATGAATGAGCAAAGTGCAGCATACTCAGTTCTGAATCTGCCGCACGAATGTAAAGATCGATGCCACCTTCGGAGAACTTCTGTATATCAATCAAATTTCCTGTCCATATCATGCAGCCGAGCCCATAAAAGTATGCAAAAGCTATGCAGGAACAATTAGCAAAGCAGCGATCTCCGCAATTATCCCCACTTGACCACTCTGCAAAGTGTGGGACTTTTATGTTCTCCAACCTGAAAAACCCATCTGCTTTGCCAATTTCGGGACTACTGTTTGTCATCTCTCATTGTATTTGTGTTATCCCAACACATCCACTTGTCCAATTTCCGGCATTCTATTCCATTACGTTCTTCGGCTCGAAGCCTCTCAAACAGCTGCATATCGGTGAACTCTTCGGATTGCAAGACCCGAAGGAACCACAAGTTCCATAAACATCACATTCACAGTTTAAGGCTGACCATGAAATGTGACAATTTTGCTTCGCATCATCCCAGTATTTCTGTACCAGGTTTCCTTCAGGATTCAATGCAAAGTTGGACAAGAATGACTGGTTAACAACAGTGTAAGTAAGATAAATAGTTCCTTCCTTGTCATCCGCAAGAGTGAAGCCTTTAAGATACACCAAACTCATATCTGGGACTCCAATGAAAACTAGACCATTCCAAGGCCCGCTTCTCCAATACGGACTACCCATTTTCCAGATTAAAACTTCAGGAATATTCTGAGTGTCTAAACCTGCAGAAAAATTCCCAACAGATGGATCGGAAGAGCTTTTCCAAGATCTAAGCGCTTCCTTTCCTTCGCCATTGGTGATTTTCACGCTCGGCAAGAAGGAGTCCGTGGGATTCCCAAAACTCTCCCAAACAGTCACTGTACTGTTATTGCTTGAATGATCTATTGCAACAACAGGTTCCCCGTGTCAAAAAGCTGCGCGCGAGTAGTGCTATTTGCCATTGCGATGCCTGACAGGTTCGACGACCAGAGAACCTCATTCTGTCCATTGGAGACCACGTTGTTGCTGTCCTCACATATCTTCACAGTCCCTGAGGAATCCTTGAGAGGCTTGTCTCGGTTGGCCACCCAAATTACCGAGACAACAGAGACTTGGTTGTACCATATGGCCACATATCGATTGGCAGGACCCAGAGAGCTGAAGAATCCCAGCCTAAAGACGCTGCCTTCTGAAGTTACAGCATCCGGGTCTCTGATGAACTGTGTTGGGGTGATGTTGTCTGTGCTATATCCTGGAGCTAGTGCTATAATAAATTGGAAGAATTGGCCACAGCAACAAGTAACTTTACCGACACTAATAAGCTAGCGCAGGGTGGTTTTGGGCCAGTATACAAGGTAACAATTTATCGTGCAAAGGGTAGTAACATCTTTTCCCTTTTCTAATTTCCTCGACTCACGAGTCCTTGCGTGCAGGGGAGACTGTCAAATGGCAAAGAAATAGCAGTCAAAAGACTATCGAAAGCTTCAGGACAAGGGTTCCAGGAATTCATGAATGAAACGGAGGTCATTTCTAAGGTCCAACATCGAAATCTTGTCAGAATCCTTGGCTGTTGTGTCGAAAGAGATATGAATATAATAATCTATGAGTTCATGCCAAAAAAAAAGTCTTGACGCTTTTCTTTTTGGTAAGATATCTCTTCTTTTAATGTTTGTCGACTAATCCCACTTGACATTCTTAATGTCAGCCATGCATTGGACTCTACCGTGCTGACAAATAATTGTTATTTTCAGCTTGCATTTAAACTTCTTTCTGTGCATTTCACTCTATCCCAGTCACAAAATGATACAAATTGTCTGCATTTTGCTTATGTGGTCTATTCAGATCCACTCCAGCGCGAACATCTTGATTGGAGAAGGTTCAACATCATTGATGGAATCTGTTGAGCCCTACTGTACCTTCACCAGGACTCTAGACTAACGAGAATTCATAGAGATCCAAAGGCAAGTAATATCCTATTGGATGAAGAGCTCAATCCAAAAATTTCAGAATTTGGGATGGCAAGGATCTTTGTAGGCAACAAGATCGAGCATATACACGAAGAGTTGTGGGGACCGAGTTAGTACCTCTCTGCATTTTGGATTTGTAAGCTGTTACTGATGGAGAACTTTGATTCGTTTCCATAAACTGACATCACAGTAGTAAACTGACTCCAGTTTTATGCAGGCATGGAAGTTGCGGAAAGAAGACAATGCTCTAGGACTAGCAGACCCAAAAATATCTGTTAGATGCTTTGAAACAGAGGCTTTAAGGTGCATAAATGTGGTTCTTCTTTGCACACAACTTGCAAAAGATAGGCCCACCATTTCGACTGTCATTTCAATGCTCCACAGCAAAATTGCGGATCTTCCTAGTCCGTTCCAGCCTGCATACACCGAGAGGCAAGTAATTTGAGACACAGATATCTCCGAACAAAGCCAGAGTAGAGGTTCTATCAACAATAGTGAAGGCTGATGATGATGTTCTTTTATTTTTATTTTTTTTTGTCTATCTTATTCTATTTTTCAACTCACTTTCAGACTTTTGCCTTGCCTCCTTTCAGAGCGTGAGAGTCAAAACTCACATATGAAACTAAACGTTCCCACCCCTAGCCCCTCTGCGGAGGTGGGGAATCGAATTCTCCACCTCCCCTTTCCCAAGTAGAAAGGTGGCCCGCTGGGGTAAACCCCAGTAATTAATGACAATGTTCTTGAAATGTACATTTTTCAGGGTTTTATTGTCCTCTCCATAACGAACGTGCGTGAGATGAGGATGCTCCACCGCCGGCAAGGGCATACAAGGTTCTCAAGCAGGTATTGCCTTGGAAGCCTTCCCACCACATTCCCTTCTCTGTCAAGGAATGCAAAGTGCAGGATGACCTCATTACGTACATACATGGAACCTTGGTTATAATTAGAAAATGAAAAGCTCCATTTTTTGCTAAACCTGAGTTCCTTTAGGATTTAACAGCATATATTGAAAAAGTTCTAGCTCAAACCATATGCTTATAAGTTGAGAAGTAATGACACATGGACAAACATTATTATAGCTATTAATCACGTGGATCTCATTACGAGTTTGCATATTTGGATAATGACAATATCGGTCCACTTAATGAGTTCATGTAATGTTTTTCTTATAAGTGGAGGACAATCCAATTACCACGCCCCGGCACAGTGCATTTACGAAGTGGGTCACCTTGGCACGGTCTGTGTTGTGCTCCCGCGCCAGCATGGTCCACTATTCAGGCCACAAGGATTTGGATCGTGGCTCGGGGACCCCGTTCAAGGATGCCAAGACCTAAGTTGGGTCACTGGGTGATCAAGTCCTGAGTCTAGGCTGTTGAGTACCTCGGTTATGCTTGCGAGGACCAGGGCTGGGCAAGGCACCATGACTGTTAATCCCGTGGGCGACTCAAAGTCTTTTGTCACACTCCAAATCCTCAAGAATAAGGATAATTACACGATCATCATGTCACCCAAAGTACGTAGCCTCAAACCTAACAATAACTCAACATAATATCGAGATATATATAATAAAAATTCATATGATTACAGGATTAGAGTTTTATAATATATCAAAAACTAAATATACATCTCCAACTAACAACTAAATTTAGGAGTTCAATTCAGACAAAAATAACTCATACCAAAAATTTCACTATCAAATTGTCCTCCTGAAAATGTAAAAGCTCTCGTCACACTTGTAGCTATCTGAAGAACTTGAAAAATAAGTAGGACAAATGGATGAGCAATCACGGCCAGGTGAGTAAAACAAATCTCTTTTAAGTAGATCGAGCATCACATATGCTCGTTTAAGACACAAAAATGCAACTCATTTACACCAAATCTAGAATATAACTTACAAGATTAAAATGAGTTCTTAATTACTTCAACAAACATATATCCATAATAGAAATAATCATTTCATTAATAATATCAAAATAAGTATGTGGTTCAGTCCACTGATAAAATATATCCATAAAAGAAATAATCATTTCATTAATAATATCAAAATAAGTATATGGTTCAGTCCACTGATCAATTTCATCAAATCGCGCATCAATGGTCTATTCTATTTATCAATCTCAAATCACATATTAATGATCAATTCCATGCTCAATATCCAACTCAAGACTTTAGAGGTAGCTCCCACGAAACTTACGTTATCTTTCAACACTTAATCCTTGACCAACGTATATCAATGATACAAGTCTCTAAAGGTGGCTCCCCCAAGACTTGCCTCACCGCGTAGCACTTTGCCATTGACTAACACATATCAATAGTACCTAGAGATGGCTCTCATGAGACTTGCATCACCGTGTAGTACTTGAGATGCGTTTGTTTCGTTGAAAATGAAGGATTTGGCAAACATTTTTCTAAAAATAATTGTGCTTGTATCGCTTAAAATAATTAGTCAATGAACAATGCTTGCATTACCGATAATAATTTATGTTTAAATATCTTTGTTGAATGTGAAATTTTTTTTCGTTCATTCATTTTTATGAGAGATATGAGTAATCATTTTTTGGAAATTGCTTTCCAAATCGTTCATTTTTCGCAAAATAAATGAAGCCCTAGTTCTTGACTATAACGCCCTAGAGGTGGCTCCCATGAGACTCGCATCACCGTGTAGCACTTTGCCTTTGACTAACACATATCAATAGTACAAGGCTCTAGAGATGGTCCCGCGAGACTCTTGTTGTAACGCCCCCACCTCGGGGTTATTAGTGCGACGTTCCGTTCGTTATTATCTTTGATTAAGCACAAGTGGAAGCAATTAATTCGGAACAATCACAATTAAACCAAACAATGGGGTTACGACAAGCATCGTGAGCAAATCTTGTATTTACATCACACGCAAGCATATTTTACGACCCGACTTACGGGTCTTAACCGATTTTAGCCGTTTATACACAACAAAAGTTATGGCTTGGGCGTCCTAAGCCCGCTACTACGGCTTTAATGCTCCTAGATTCCTCGAACTCCAACATAGCTCATACTCCCCTTCCCACTGCCGTCCGCTCGGCTATCTCATGCCCCGCCTATGGGGCCCCCTAGAGCCGGCCCACCATTTCCACCAAAGGGGCCGTTGTACCCTCACAGGGGTCCAACCAGGTGGCTATTTGACAAACGGTATCACGCCGCGTAAGTGTGGGGTACCAAGTTCTCAAGGCCCTCATTAACCATAGCATAGGTAATAACCCGAGGGTAGGCCCTACGTTCACGGGTGCAGATAGCATCGATCACCTCAACTTCCATCTTTATAGGGGTGCCAAAATGGATCGGGGGAGATGCCATCTTTCGGACTTGAAAAGGAAAACAACGGGGGATGAGTCTGGGAGACCTAATAAGTGAACTCACTAATGTCAAGTGAGGAGGAATCGATCGTCGTTAACATGAGTTGACCCTTAACGCACCGGCGTCAATGGCAAATCAATAGCAAAGTACATGCCAACAACAAAAAAACATCAAGTATGGCTATTACACGTGAGTATCACCAATCAAGTTTCGGTTTTTATCATATGTTATCCATGAATAACAAGAGAAGCTTTTCTCGCAACCAAGTCATAATTGACTCTTGCAAAACGTGAGAAATATACACGTCTCAAGTATATACAAGACATAAGATGAAACAATCAACGATCATTCACAAGTCCGAAAACGGTCCAAGCAAACCACGTCACATCAAATATGAAACATAGGCAAGACATGGAAAGAACCAACCACGACTAATCAAACAACCGAACACGGTCCAAGCAAACCACGTCACAATGCATCTCATCTTCCTTTTCCGACATTAGGGAATTCACTTACTCTACTCGACAATACGAGATTTTATGGGGACCAAATAGTGACGTGAGAATGAAGTGGTGATTGGCGTGAGCAAGAGGAAGAACCGGCTGGTGGGTAGGCGTGTGAGAGAGGGTGAGTGGCGTGAGAATGAGAGATGAGAGAGGAAGAGGAGATGGTGTGTGGTAACTAAGGGGGGACCAAGCCTATTTATAGGCAAACCCAACTTGCTCACCAAGTTAAGAGTCAAAACTTGCTCTCCAAGTTCTTGACTCTTTAGAATCCTCAAAGCTCTCATAATTCACTAGCCACATGGTCCAATCACCTTCATTCAAGTGTCACCTATAATTAAAGGAAATCTTATCAAATCTTAGGCCTAATAATTTGAGTGTCTAATTGACTACCAAGTGTCCTACTAGGGTTATAATGCTCTAAGTTAGGGTACATGAGTCACCCTATACATTAAATTCCAAGAGGACACCTAAGCCCGTGCATTAATATCTATAGGGACACATAAGCTATTCATGAAGAAAAGACAAATGTCACGATGAAATTGCCCCTAAAGTCTAATGCCATCATTATCTAGATCTTGAAAATCTTGGCTATTAATGAAAAAGAGCCAAAAGACCATAATTAAATGGCCTTGAAAGTCTTAGCCATTAATTTGGCTTCTTGAGCAAGATTTAATTCTAGCCACATAATCTAAGCTTGGGCTTTAAATTTCAATCTAGAGTTCATGATGACCTATAGGAGCAATTAAGATCCTAAAACTTGATCCTCAAGTTGCAATTGGCCCTAAAGTCTAAGCTTCATAATTAAGCTTCTTGTACAAGCCTTTAATTTGAGGCCATTCATTTCCAACTTGGCCTCCAAGTTTCTAGCTTAGGATCATTATGCCCTATTTATTCAAGGCCTAAATAAATCATGATGATCTCTCTTTCTCTCTCTCTTTGACCATGAGCCATCTTGCTAGGCGTGAATGATGGTCTTGGTCCTCAAGACTCAATTATAAAAAGCCTTCCAGAAAAACACATTTCAGCTTTTGCCATCACATGTAAAGCCTCATTTCCCCTTCATATGACCTCCAATCAAAATGTAACATATCTCATTTGAAATCTTAGAATGTACACATTAAATAATCAGAAGATCTCAAGTCCAAATTCCCAAGGTTTCACGTGAGAAATGGTGCATCTTTGAAATCTGATAAAACTGGGCAGTTTTGTACTGTTCAAGAAATCGGACTTGAAAATATAGTAAATGGACTCAGAAAATTCTCAAATTTGAATATGTCATAAACAAGGCCTTAACAAACATTTTCCATGAGAACTCAAAATCTGAATCTTTCTTTAAACACAACTTTAATAGCTCAAAGACAGACTAAAAACAGTTCGCTAGAATAGAACTCTTGCTTCTCAAAGCAAGCTCTTTCCAGAATCCAAATAATCTCCAAAAAAATTCCCAAATTTATATATGTTATAGAGGAAGAAGTTCTTAACAACTTTTGTGAAGGAAGTTTGTTCAAACTCGTCCCAAAAAAATTTGTATAAAATCGAGAAAGTGTAAACATCATAGAAATACTCATTCTGGGCAGTTTTACACGGTCCGAAAATGAGGTGATTGTCCAACCCAAATCAAGTCCAAAAATTCTGAAATTAAATTATGTTAAACTTGAAGATATTTGGAACGACTTTGAAGGGGAAACTTCTAGAAATTCGGTTCACAAAGTTTTCCACAAAAATAACAAAACGAGGTGGTACTAGGGACTCGAAACTAGGTTTTCCAGAACAAGAGTAAAATTTGGTTTCGATTGGGAAAACCACCAAATTTAATCCATAACCATTTTCCGGAGACTGAAATTGAGGATGTTACACTTGTCGCCGTTGTCGTGTAACACTTAACCCTTGCCTAACACATATTAATAATATAAGGCCTTAAAGGTGGCTCTTAAGAGACTCGTGTCGCCATGTAGCACATTGCCCTTGATCAGTTCATATCACAATTGATTTCACAAATCATTTCTTTCCACAAAACCAATTCAAAATTCGTATCATAAATCGGTTTCACAAACCAAAATCTAGAATCTTTCGCAACTTAGTTCATCGATCAAAATCCCCTTTCGTAAAGTATTTCTCAAATCTTTTAAAAAATTATCTCATAAATTAGATTCATAAAGTAATACACATAACCTTCAAGAAAGGTTTATCAAACCGTCTCACGATAATCAAAAGTAGTAAACACTTGATCCAACTTTATGCAATAAATATGCTCTTTTTAGTTTAGTGTGTGTGTATATATATACACACATTGCTTTTACTTCAAGACATGGGTTTTAAAAACCAAATGAGATATTGGCACCACTCACCTGGAAATGCCCAAAACCAAACAACGTAGTTTTTCGAACCAACGATCTCATAGTCCTATCAATTAAATGATAATCGACATTAAAACCAAGTAAAACATTACTTTAACTAACAACCCTACTAAACTACACTTAATCGCTAACAAAATGACTCCCACGCGTTAACAAATCGCTCGCCCAAGGCGACTGTTCAAAGCTATCCGGAACACAGAGCTTGTGCGCGAAACTCTAAAATTTCACTCAGACTAAACCGTTACTTCAAAACGACTCCCGTCAAACCTCACGGCTCCACAATGCCCTAATTCATGATTTCCGTGAAATTTCATAACTCAACAACTCCAAAATTGGACCTTGCAGTTCAAATTTCACATAATTTCGAATTTGTACCTTAATTTCGAAACAGATTAGACGAAACAAAGGGCTTAGCATTGCAAATTGAAATAAATTCAGCTTGACAAGATCCCCGTGACGTGTACACACAAAATCCTCTTTTCTTTTTTTCTTTTTTCCTTTCCCTTTCTTTCTCTTCTTTGCCCATTGTTTCTTTTCTTCTCTCTCTTTTCTTTCTCATTTGCGCTTTCGCTCTCTGCCCATTCTATGAGCCGAGCGTCCGCTTTTCCTTTTTGTTGACTAGTAAAACTTTTTTTGTAATCTGACCAAAAATAAAACTTTTTCTTTTTTCTTTTTACCCTTCAACTTTTTGACTTAGCAAAAAACCCACTTTTACGCACAGCTTGGTTTTTACTCTCCTTTTTGGCCGCCGCCAACCTGACCGCGATAAAGCTAGCGTTTAAACGGAGACCTTTGTAAGACCAAAAACAATAAAAATCGGAGAACTTTGAAAAGCATCTCATGTCATTGCCCCGTCGGCTTTTGTGAATCATCGAGAGATTGGCCCTCCGTCATTATGGTTATTAGTGGAAACTACTTTCACCGATTTCTCGTCTAAGATCTTGGAGTGGTTGGAGGTTTGACATCTCGTCCTCGTCCTGTCGCGCCCCTGTCTGACGGATTCGGCTGATGGGTTCAACGTGGGATTGACGTTCATAACTTGAACCGTAGAAGGCTCTGAGATGGATGTAATACACATTCTTTGCTCCGGGGTTGCCGAATGTGGCTGGAGGCAGCGGAGTTGTGGGCGGCCGAAGGCGATGCGTGTTTGGCACTCGGGTGATTTGGAAAGTAGATATTTTTGGTGGTTTATATAAAAGAGGAGTAGACTAGCGCTATCAAGTTTGGCTCATTAGGTGCAAAATGAGAAGTTTAGAAGGGAAGTGTTGGTTCAATGTGAAAAGGGTGATTACTTTAGGCAAAATTTTAATTTCAGACTCGTAATCGCAACGTAGCTTCTGAATTCAAGAAGTTCATCGAGATACCCTCACGTTTTAATGCAAATAGCTGCCTTAACTCAAACTACCCACACCATGTTCATTTCTCATCATATAAAATTCTGATGTAGAAACTTAAAAGATCATGTTTAATGCATCAGCATTTTCAAGTGGCACACTACACCAACGTTCTTGAGAGTCACAAGTCAAAGTGACTCCTTTGAAGAATTTATGACGAGTGAAGAAGCATAATGTTAATGAGAACCACAAGATTGAAACCGACTGAGTGGAGATGACAGACCCAACTGGCCTATACTGCACTGTGAAGTCCACTACCTAGAAGACTTATGCACAAACCATTTTGGCCTCTAGCAAGTAAAATCATGGCATTGACAGCAACAGCCGATGTGGGAAATTTTCCGGTTAGAGTGATGAGACACTTTTCAGATTTTCCACTATAAATCTCTTCATGGAGCTTCTGAAGCCCATCAGCCAGGACACCTAGAAATGATCTTCCACCACAAGTCCATAATTTTGAATTCCACCCCCTTGTCCTGACCTTCAGGTTGTGGATTTGAATGTCCTTGGTCCTCTCTCTATCCGAAGCCAGTAGCAAATCCAGTTTCTTGGTTGTTGTCGAGAAGAAAGATTCAAGTAGTCATGATCCTTCTGAGAAGAGCAAGATTGTATTCTCTCTTCCTAATGTGTCATTACGCGGTGAAACTTTGCGTTGGGGGGGATGTCATTACAGCATCTGGCTACATCCGAGACCCTGGAAGTATAACATCGAGTGGAGGTCTCTACAAATTGGGATTCTTTAGCCCTAATGGTTCTGCAAATCGATATGTTGGAATTTGGCATAACAAGATTCCTGCATATAATATCTTCTGGGTGGCGAACAGGGAGACACCGATTTTAGACTCTTCAGGTGTTGTGATAATATCTGATGACGGAAATCTTGTGATCACGAATGGAAAGAAGGAAGTAGTTTGGTCGTCGAATGTTTTGACGTCTGCTACAAATAGAACAGCCCAATTATTAGATTCTGGTAATCTTGTCCTGCTCAAACAAGGTTCAAGCTCCGGGGCAAATGATTTGGACATACTCTGGCAAAGTTTTGACCACATGTCTGACTCATTCTTGTCAAAAATGAAGCTAAGCACTAACGTAAGGACAAACGAAAAGAAGTTTGCCTCATCTTGGAAATGCCCTTCCGACCCATCAGTTGGAAGCTTCATGATTACCCTGGAACCGCTGAACATTCCTGAAGTTGTCATTTGGAATGGCAGCATCCGGTATTGGCGGAGTGGTCCATGGATGGGTAAAGGTTTCATTGGAATAGCCGAGATGCAGACCGTCCATCCTGATGTGTTTAACATATTAGCTGCTAAGGATGGAACTATGTATTATACTTACAATTTTGCTGAGCCGCATTTTTCATACTTCGTACTGAAGCCCAATGGAAATTTGGTGCTGCCATTCTGGCATGAAAAAGAGAACTACTGGGAAATTTTTTGGTCGTCTTGGGAGAGTGAATGTGATGTTTATGGCAAGTGCGGGCCGTTCGGAATCTGCGATGCCAACACATCACCTATTTGCAACTGCGTGAGAGGCTTTGAGCCTAAAAACATTGAAGAATGGAGCGGAGGGAATTGGTCCGGGGGATGCGTCCGGATGTCATCACTGCAATGTGAAAGGATAAACAATGGTAGCACTAAAGCGGGAAAAAAGGATGGATTTATGAAGATAGAGAATGCAAAAGTGCCAAATTATGCAATTAGGGATTCCCCGTTGGAAGACCAATGCCAGAAGCTGTGCTTAAGTAATTGTTCCTGTTTAGCATATGCATATGAAGCTGGCATCGGTTGCATGTACTGGAGCGGAGACCTAATTGACATACAGAAGTTCTCCATGGCCGGAACTGACCTTTACATCCGACTCAACCACGCAGAAATTGGTGAGTTCATTCATCAATCTAAGTTCTGTACAATTTGGTATCCTATCGCAACTGATTCCTAGATGTTTAAGCATTAGCCGGTATACTTCCTATTGACTCAACCATCAGAAAATTATTTAATAAGAAAAAAGAATTATATGGATTTAAAGTGCTTTTTGGCTTTTATCTGCCAAGTCTAATTTTAGCTATGGTTCTTTCTGTGCTATTAACTGTTCTCTGTTGAACAAGGGTTCATAAAATGCTTTTTGTTGGTAGCTGCTTATACAGAGGCACCAGAGTCTGAGACACAGTTTATGCCTTTTTTTCTGGTCCGCAGGTGACAAGAGAGATCTGACAGCAATTATAGCAACTGCTGTGATTGTGGGAATAGTCATTTTCGTTATTGCTATATGCTTTTGCTGGAGAAGGTGGAAGAAAATACAAGGTAATCAGTTTTGTGGTCATTCGGTCTTGCTATCCATGCAAATGCCCGCTGCATGGACTGAATTACTTAATATGTTAATGGAATCTGCAGAAAGAAAAAGCACAGAAATGCAGTTTTCGGATAGAGAAGCATCATTAGTGGCTTCGGATAGAAACATGCTTGGAGAGAATTTGGGCAAAGTTAATGTCCAGGAGGTAGTGCTATATAAATTGGAAGAAATGGCGGCAGCAACAAGCAACTTTAGTGACACCAATAAGCTAGCACAGGGTGGATTTGGACCAGTATATAGGGTAATAATTTTTCGTGTGGAGGACAGTAACATTGTTTTATATTTCAGCCACTGAGTAAGTCCTTTTGTGCAGGGGAGACTGTTAAATGGGAAAGAAATAGCAGTCAAAAGACTATCGAAAGCCTCAAGACAAGGGTTCCAGGAGTTTATGAATGAATTGGAGGTCATTTCCAAGGTCCAACATCGAAATCTTGTTAGAGTCCTTGGATATTGTGTTGAAGGAGATGAGAATATGATAGTTTATGAGTTCATGCCAAACAAAAGTCTAGACGCTTTTATTTTTGGTAAGATTTCAATTCTTTTAAGATTGTCTAATTCTAGTCCCACTTTTTTCTTTGCCAAGCAAAGAAAATGATGTCTCATTCGTAATTTTAGCCGTGCATTGGACTGTACCTCCTGCACATGACTGCCATCTTCAGCATAATTTGAACTTGTCACTATGCATTTACTTATATTGTCTATTCAGATCCTCTCAAAGGGGAACATCTGGATTGGAAGAGACGGTTCAGCATTATTGATGGAATTTGTCGAGGCCTACTATATCTTCACCGGGATTCTAGACTCAGGATAATTCACAGAGATTTGAAAGCGAGTAATATCCTGTTGGATGAAGAGCTCAATCCTAAAATTTCTGACTTTGGAACAGCTAGGATATTTGGAAGCAACGAAGACCAAGAAGATACGCGAAGAATTGTGGGAACCTAGTTAGTACCTCTTTACATGTTGAAGTAATTAATGATTTTATTTTCTACTCAGTATATGGAATCTGAAAATGTTTGATGAAACGCAGTGGTTACATGGCTCCTGAATATGCAATGGATGGGCGATTTTCGGAAAAAACAGATGTCTTTAGTTTCGGCGTGATACTGTTAGAGATCGTATCTGGAAGACAGAGCACTGGTATTATTGAGGAAGATCGATCCTTGAGCCTTCTAGGATACGTAAGCGCTTACTGACATAGAACTCGACTTATTTCACTAAACTAACATAACTATAGCAAATTGACTCGAGTTTTTGGCAGGCGTGGAATTTGTGGAAGGAAGACAATGCTCTAGCACTAGTGGACCCAAAATTCTCCGTCAGATACTTCGAAACTGAGGTTGAAAGGTGTGTAAAAGTGGGTCTTCTTTGCACACAAGAACTCGCAAAAGATAGGCCTACCGTTTCAACTGTTATTTCGATGCTCCACAGTGAAATTGTGGATCTTCCTGATCCAAATCAACCTGCGTTCACTGAGAGGCAAACAACTGGAGATACAGATTCCTTGGAACCTAGCCCAGATGGATGTTCTATCAACAATGTTACTCTCACCACTATTATAGGCCGATGAAGAGTGTCCTCGAAATGGACATATTTGAAAACTTAAGCTCAAAGCTGAAGGTTTATCACATTATTGTAATCTGTTCTTATTTTTATCCAAAAGTACTATGTTCACTGTTCGTTGATTCTTATGTTGAGTGGTGCTGGCAAATGTATTAAACACAAAACAAGAAAATTGAACAGGCCAACTTCTGTAACTTGGTGACTGTTTGGTGCTTATTAAGCATGAAGTGCCGGTTGGAGCAGTGCTCTCGCAAAATGGGATATGGTGACCTAGATTCAGTTCACGTGAGCAACATTCATTTTGTGTCAATAGAAGTTACTGAAATCTAGCAGTAAGACCACCAAAATAGGGAGCACTTGCAAGGTGCAGCATGCATCACAGCGTGGTACACTGGGTAAAGATCTCAGTTGCAAAGGTTAAGAGGGTTGAATGAAAGCATATTCTTCTTCATGGAAATGAACACTCTTGTGGATTTCTTCTTTTAAAACATGTTAGGGCCACAGAAAATGAGGGGAAGTGAAGTGATAGGTGACAATGGCAGAGTGAAAATGAAAATGAGTTTGTGATTTTCTTGATGTGCAATTGGAGAAGAAAGGACAATTGAGTTGACTATTTTGCCCTTGCTAGTGGGTGGATAGAGCACCGGGCAGCACCGGTCCAACTTAGTACAATCAGAAGCCCAAGATGAAATTTTAGGTCGGATTGAACATAATATAAAGGGAAAAAAACATAAAAAACTCCAAACTATATCCAATGTAATACATTTACCTTAAACTTTTTATTCTGTGATACCAAAAGTCCTAAACTTATACCTGTGTGGCACATTTACTGTTCATCAAGCAATGAAAAACGTTATAAATCTACCTATATGGACACTGGAAAGTAAACGATATTGACATGGTATCTATGTGGCTTAGGTGAAATAAAAACGACTTTTATTTTGATTGAAAAATCATTTGACAGAATATTGACGAAGAGTAAATATTTCACATTGGTACAAATGAGGGGTTTTTCTTTATGTTACAAGAAAAAGTTTTGGGTAAATGTGTTAAAGTGGCCATACTTTAGGGTTTTTAATGTCATAGAAAAATTTTATGGTAAATGTGTCACAATGGGCATAGTTTGAGAGTTTTGGTGGCTTTTTACCTAATTTAAAACATACTTAGGGTGTGCTTATTTCAAAGAAATTTTCATGACAAAGGAAAACATTTTCAGGGAAATTAATTTTCAATAAAAATGTTTTTCCCTTTTTAGGTTAGGAAATTTATTTTCCTAATTTTAAGCATATTAACCATAAATTATTTTTATAAAATTGATACTTTTTTCACGCAAAGTTATTAATCGTCTACAAAAATATTGCTTACCTATATATTGTAATAGATTTTTCTCATTAAAACTTACTAAATGATAAAAAAGAAATTATTAAATAGTAACTCCTGATATGTTGAAGAATGGTTATTATAGAAATTCACTAGTTATATAAAAGCATTACTAGTGACTATAGATAGATAGCTAGATGCCTAATTTCTCAATTTGAAAAGTTTTTATTTTTATATATCTATATATTTGAGATTATGAATAGCTATATTAGATAATTCCGATTCTATCCAAACAGCAAAGTGGACAAGTCTGGACACTCGTGCCATATTTAACCTAAATTAATATTGGTGTCACAAAAAATCTAAACTTGATACCCTCTGGCCATATTTATCCAAACTAATTCTCATGTCATAAAAAATCTCAAATTGGTATCCCTGTTAGCTACAATCTCCAATATCCCGTCAGCTTACGTTCAATTTTCTTACACGAAAATTAGTTTAGGGTAAATTTGACATAACCGTATCAGTTGTGATTTTTTATTACACGAAAATTAGTTAAGGGTGAATGTGATACGAGAGTATTAGTTTAGGATATTCTAAGACATGGAAATCAATTTAGGGAAAATGTGACACGAATAAACCGCTTTGGAATTTTTATGGTATTAGTCCATCCCCATGGAGACCCAATCAGTGTAACGAACAAATTACAAAACAAAATTACCCGACGCCCATCCCGACCTTTACGCCCGGGACAACCTCCCAAAGTCTCATGTCTTCATTGCCCAAACTTTGGTTTCACGCGTAGTCTCTCTTCTTGCACGGCAAAATGATAGCGACAGTTTGAATTCGGAAAGCGTCCGGAAAGCAGGGTCCCCTCCGACATGTCATTTCGTTCCGTACCTCCATGGTCGTCTTGCGCGAAAAGATCGACCAACCATTCAATCTTCGTCCCTCAAATCTGCATGCTCTATTCAAGTCACTGAGATGTGACTCCTCCTCGTCCTCTCCCACTTGCCTTGACGGGTTCAGTGGCCCCAGGAAGTCGGCGCGGGATGGTCTTTGATCATTTTCATTCCCCGCAGCCCGTGAGGCGGCGAACAGGTGGAGAAAAATAGAGATCTTTCGTGTTTCTACGTGGTCTGAGACATCAGTTCATGTCTCCGTTCTGATCTGCAGGTGAAACGAGACATCTGAGAGCAATCATAGCAACTACAGTCATCATAGGAACACTCATTGTCATAGTGACAATATGGTTTGCCAGGAGGAGGGCGAAAAAGAGAGGTAACGAGTAATGCAGCTATTCCAGGCATGCCATTAAGTTCTGAGTTTGCATGGATTATTTAACAAAGACCGTTGTCTGGAACAGCAGTAAAGGAAAGCAAGGAAAAGCGTTTATCCAATGGAGAAGCAACTTTAGTGGCTTCTAGGGAAAATATGCTTGGGGAGAACTTGAGCAGAGTTAAATTCCAGGAGTTTGTGCTGTATAAAATTGAAGAATTGGCTGCGGCAACAGGAAACTTTGGCGACGCCACTAAGCTTGGACGAGGTGGTTTTGGGCCAGTATATAAGGTATAATTATTGATGTAAAGTATCATATATGTGAGTGGGTGGGTGTGTGAGTGTGTGTGTGTCAATTTTAGTGGCTCATTTAGTCCCTGTGTACAGGGCACACTCCCAAACGGTCAGGAAATCGCAATCAAGAGGCTATCGAGAGCATCAGGACAAGGGCAGCAAGAATTTATGAACGAAATGGTGGTCATTTGTAAGATCCAACATCGAAATCTCGTTAGACTGCTCGGATGCTGTGTTGAAGGAGATGATAAAATGTTAATCTATGAATTCATGCCCAACAAGAGTCTAGACACATTTCTTTTTGGTAATATTTCTCTTTTTCAGTGCTGCCTCAAACTATCATTTATACCACTATATCCGGAGAGCCTCATTTGTATAGTTAGCCATTTAAACAGGATTGGACAGTCCTGCTGCGGATGCTTCAACAATTCTGTTTGGCTTTGAACTTCTTTCTGTGCATTTCAATCTTTCCCAGTTGCAAAAAGTGAACTTTTTGAATTTTACTTCTATTGTCTATTCAGATCCAGTTAAACGAGTACATTTGGATTGGAGAACACGGTTCAACATAATTGATGGAATTTGTCGAGGTCTACTTTATCTTCATAGGGACTCCAGACTAACGATCATTCATAGAGATTTGAAGGCTAGCAATATCCTGCTGGATGAAGAGCTTAATCCAAAAATTTCGGATTTTGGAATGGCTCGGATATTTGGGGGAAACGAAAATCAAGCTAATACACAAAGAGTTGTGGGAACCTAGTTAGTAGCTCTTTATTTTTCGACGTTCCTAGTGATTTTATTCTCTACTCAGATTAAGGAATTTGAACCTGTTTGATGGATGATGCAGTGGTTACATGGCTCCTGAATACGCAATGGAAGGGCGATTTTCGGAAAAATCAGATGTGTTTAGCTTCGGAATATTATTACTGGAGATCATAAGTGGAAAACGGAACACTAGTTTTTATGAGGAAGATCAATTCTTGAGCCTTCTAGGACAGGTAAGCTCTCATTGATATGGAAGTTGGAACTGCATTGTGTTCTCATAAACTGGAACCCCAATAGTAAGTTGACTTGATTAATTTGCAGGCATGGCAGCTGTGGAATGAAGACAATATTCTAGCCCTAGTGGACCCAAACATTCCTGTTAGATGCTTCAAGGTTGAGCTTTTAAGGTGCATAAATGTGGGGCTTCTTTGTACACAAGAAAGGGCAAAAGATAGGCCTTCCATATCAACTGTTATCTCAATGATCAACGGTGAAATTGTGGATCTTCCCCGTCCAAAGCGACCTGCATTCACCGCAAGGAAAATAACCAAAGACACAGATTCCTCCGGACAAAGCCAAAAGACATTTTCTACCAATGATGTTACTCTTACCGTTCTTCAAGGCAGATGACGTGATTTGAATTTTTGCACCATTCTCACTGTGTCCTGTTCTTACTGTTTCGAGTTTGACTAGTTTTATTTTTTAGGCAATCTTGCTTGGAAATGTATACAAACGCAAACCATGAACTATTTTTTCCACGTAACAGTTCTTTACTACACATATTTGTGTCATCAAAAGTTGGGGTTCAAATATTTGGTACCTTCTGCTGGGAATAATGCTTCTACTTCTCATCTCAGGAGGCAGTGGTTTAGATAAAGTTCTGGAAAAATTGCGAGCAGCCCCCCTCCACTGTTGGGGGAATTGCAATTAGCCCCCTCCTTCAAATGTTTGCCACTACTCCTTGACGTATCTATTTGTTCCAAATTAGAATCCAAATCTTGGCAACGCTAGGAATACCCTCAAATCTGCAATAGCCTAAGTGTTCACTAATGTTCATCTCATATCATAAATTCAATGACATGGCTAGCTCAAAAAATTCCACTAATCCTGTTGATGTGAGAAAGATATAGCTGATTTTACTCGACGCTGCAGTCCTTGTTAATTGATTGAAGGATGTCAATCAGTATAATTAGTTGTAAGCAACTGGAAACCAAGTGCATAGAAATGTTCATGATACTGAAAACAAAATGGCAATTGAAGGAAAGCAATTGGGGCCACAATCTCGAATGAAGGCAACAATTTGAAATTAGCCTTATTGCATTTGAGCTTCTTTCTGTGCTTTTCACTCTAACCCAGTCACGATAATGATACAAAATTTCTGCATTTGCTTATGTTGTCATTTCAGATCCATTCAAGTGCGAGCATCTTGATTGGAGAAGATGGTTCAACATTATTGATGGAATATGTCGATGCCTATGGTACCTTTGTTAGTGGTCTGCCCTAAGAATCAATCAAGGTTGATACTTTAATATTAGTTGTGGATTAGGTTGTGTCGGAAAACCGATCTTCACTATACTTAGGTAGTCATAATGTGTTGCTAGAGACCGCTTATGACTTGTGGGCCAAAAGAGTTTTGGGCACACTGCTAATGTTTAGTGAACCTACAGGGTCGCACACAATATCGAACGGACTTAATATTGTCTATGCGCCTTGATCTACTTAAGAAGTAGATTTTAATTTATTCTCCTATTTAAATTATCTATGCGGTCGTACGCGTTATGAGATAACGATTAAACGTACGATTGAAGGTGGACGGTTTGGCGGGCCCAAATAGCCCGGCCCACTTCTTTTAATTCCGCTAGATAATGAGGCTGTATAAATAGATAGAGAATCGTTCTCTGTCTAGGGTTTTTTTCGATAGAGTATCGAAAAGCAAAAGGCGTTCAAGAAAAAGGAACTTCAAGATCTTTCGCTAGCACGCACTACAAAAAAATTGATTTTTTCCGACGAAATTTCCAACGAAAAATTCTGGAAAATTCGTTGGAAAACGAATTTCCAACAAATTTTCCAACGAAAAAAAATTCGTTGGTAATAGGTCGTTGGAAAATTTTCCGACGAAAAATTTCAATTTTCGTTGGAAATTTCGTTGGAAAACTCGTGACTAAATTTGTTGGAAACGAATTTTTTTTTCCGACGAATTTTTTTTCGTTGGAAATTACAAATTTTTTTTTGATCGAAAAATCGTGGAAAGTTTTTTTCCATCGAATTTTTTTTTTTGGTCGAAAAATTTCAATTTCAAAAATTTTTTTTTTGGCCGAAAAATGGCCCTCGCCGGCGGCGAGGGCCAGCCTCGTCGCCGACGAGGGCCGAGCTCGCCCAGATCTGGGCGAGCTCGAGCTCGTCGCCGGCGAGGCCCGCGGACCGGCGAGCTGGCGGCGGTTCCAAAGCCTCACGCGGCCGAGAAAGGAAGAGAGAGATCGGCCGGTTGGACGGTGGCGGTGAGGCGGGATGGGTGGCGGCCTCGCCGGCCATGGCGAGGGCCGATATCGCCATGGCCGGGCGAGCTAGAGCTCGCCCGGATCCGGGTGAGCTCGCCTCGGGCGACGGAGCTCGAGCTCGCCCGAGATCCGGGCGAGCCTCGGCCTCGCCGGCGACGAGGCGTCTGGGCGGCCCATGGTGGCGTCGGGAGCGCCGACCGCCATGGCGGGGCCTCGGCCCTGGATGGCCGCAGCGACGCCTTCGGGGACGGAGCCGACGTCGCGGATGACCCTGGATGCCGATCTTGGTGTCCATGGCACCGGGAGCCGAGTCGGAGGAGGAGGGGGGGCGGCGGGGAGGCGGCTGGGAGAAGGTGGAAGGCGAAGGAGAGACCGAGAGAGAGAGAGGAGGAAACAGTGGAGCGAGTCAAGCGTCGAATGGACTCGCCCGAGTTGAGGAGAGAGGGACTCGGAGAAGGGAGGCTTGGGGGGGAAGGAGATGAAGGAGACGGCCATGGCGGAGCAGAGGGAGCGAGCGAGAGAGAGACACTAAAATAATTGCCCGGAAATTTTCCAACGAATTTTCCAACGAAAATTGTATAAACTGAAATAATTGCCCGGAAAATTGAAATTCGTTGGAAAATTCCAACGAATTTTCCAACGAATTTTAAAAATGCCGAACGGTACCGGTTTTTTTTGTAATTCGTTGGAAAATTCGTTGGAAATTTCCAACAAATTTTTTTTTCGTTGGAAATTTCCAACGAATTTTCCAACGAAAATTGTATACAATGAAATAATTGCCCAAAAATTGAAATTCGTTGGAAAATTCGTTGGAAATTTCCAACGAATTTTCCAACGAATTTTAAAAATGCCGAACGGTATTGGTTTTTTTGTAATTCGTTGGTAATTTCCAACGAATTTTTTTTCGTTGGAAATTACCAACGAATTTTCCAACGAAAATAGTATACAATGAAATAATTGCCCGAAAATTGAAATTCGTTGGAAATTTCCAACGAATTTTCCAACGAAAATTGCACAAACTGAAATAATTGCCCGGAAAATTGAAATTCGTTGGAAAATTCGTTGGAAAATTCGTTGGAAATTTCCAACAAATTTTCCAACGAATATAAAAATGCCGAACAAGATGCCGGGTTTTTTGTAATTCGTTGGAAAATTCGTTGGAAATTTCCAACGGAAAAAATTCGTTGAAATTTACAACGAATTTTCCAACGAATTTTGTTTCGTTGGAAATTTCCAACTAATTTTCCAATGAAAATTTTTTCGTTGAAATTTCCAACGAATTTTATGACGAAATATAGTTCGTTGGAAATTTCCAACGAATTTTATTTACCGAAAATTTTTTTGTTGGAAATTTCCAACGAATTTTACTTTTCGTTGGAAAATTTGTCGCAAATTTGCAACGAAAATTTTTTCGTCGCAAATTTTCGTGGCAAAAATCCAGTTTTTTTGTAGTGACGTGGATCGTTGGAGAATTTCGTTCGTGTGTGTGGATACCGGTAGAGGCGCAACACTTGGGGCGCTCATCCAGACACAATCAGTTGCTGATTTATCTTCGATCTGCAAAAGGTACGTACCGAAATTCCTTTTTGATTTCAATATACACATGGATCCTGTCAAGGGTTCTATATTCCGCTGCGTTGTTTTTCGTTGTTGAACCCTACAACCTTCACGGGGACTCTAAGACTAAGGATAATTCATAGAGATCTAAAGGCAAGTGATATCCTGTTGAATGAAGAGCTCAATCCAAAATTTCAGACTTTGGAATGGCAAGGATCTTTAGAGGCAACGTAGATTCGTTTTCCGAAAAATAGACAGAACCTAAAATAGAATTGATTCGCTAATTGCTCGGGTCTTTTACAACAATAACCGGCGAATCCGGGTCGAGTGAACCGGCCAGTGACCCCAAACCGTGCGTGACGCCACGGACAACCTCTCAAGTCTCAAGTGCTTCTCACATAGCTTGGTTCGCACATTGTCTCTCTTCTTGCACCGCCGAAATGACAGCGACGACTCAATCCAGAATGCGTCCAAAGAGTCGAGAGTCCCCTCCGTCGTCGCCTCGTGCGAATGGATGGAGAGAGAGTTCGGACGGTGGCGATGTGATCTCGGTGCAGACGACTTGACCCGCCACTCAGTCTTCGTCCCTCAGTCTTATCTCACACAACCCACAAGCTGTCACGAGTCGAGGGAAGAAATGTGATGCCCGGTCGTCGTCGTCCTCCTCCTCTCGGGCATGGCTTGACAGGTGCAGTGGTGACTGGAAGTTGGGGGACTGACTTTCGTAGCTCGAGTAGGCCGCAGCCACTGGGACGACGAATGGGTGGAGAAAGATTAGAGTTTCAGTACGTGCGGTTTTTGGGGGAAATGAGAGGTTTTTTGCGTTCCTTGAAGACAGTAATTTGGGCCAATGCAGTTCACCCATCAGATGGCAAAGTTGGTACTTTCAGAAGGGTACCCGGGTGAAATGCGAGCAAGATATAATTTTTCTAACATTTTTTCTTAATCTAATATACACTAAATAATTTCTTTTACCTTTTCGATCGACATTAATTAATGATTGTTAATAGAAACAATCAGCTTATGACGTAGTTAACCGAGATTATCGACGACCAACTTTATTTTTTGGGTCTGAAAGACGACCGACTTAAGGAAGCTGACATTGATACGAAGTATTATATTTGGGTGCTCGAGGTCTTACTGCATTTAATTAGGCTGCAGCATGTATTGGCGAGCCGTGAAAGTTTCAAATGTTTTGAATTTTGAAAAAAAAAAAAAGTCGAGGGTGAATTCTTAAGGGCCCAAATTTATTGAGTCACGAGTTAACAATGAAGGAATGCTTGGGGGCTTATTTGAAATGACATTTTTCTCCCCTGAATGTTTTTTTTTTCTATGAATAATTTGTGAAAAATCATATGATTTTACACGAGTTCAAATGCTAATATCCATGTACTTTATGAAATTCGAGATGCTCAATACTTCAAATGAAATTTAAGACGCTAAGCAGAATCTCATGACCAAGAAGAAAGAACAAGAAATTTTTTTATATGTAGAACAACTGGTTTAAGTGAAGATGATAGAGATCCAATATGCAACGCCTATGCCGAATAATCCAGACCACAATCTTAAACTCTGCGATAAGATGTGGGGCCATTAGCCAGGAAAATCAGATTCTTCAATACCGGTTTCTTCATGGAGCTCCTTAAGTCCCTTAGCCAGGGACTATGTAAATGATGATTAGGCCATGTGGGTATCTCTTGTAGTGGGAAACCGCCATCACCTTCAACCACTAGGCCTTCCTCTGCAGAATTCTGATTTTCATCTTCTGTCCTCAAATTCACTTGAGGTTCGTGGTGTTCTTGGCACTTTCTCTACCTTAGCCAGTGGTGCTGTGGCAGCGTGCCGTGTTATGGGTTGTTGCTGAGGAGGAAAGATTCAAGTTCTCATCATGCTATTTCTGGGAAAAGCAAGATTGTTCTCTCTCTTTCTAATGTCTCATTACGTTGTTAAATTTTGCATTAGAGGAGATGTCATCACAGCAACTGAGTTTATCCAGGACCCTGAAAGTATAACATCAAGTGGAGGTGTCTACAGAATGGGATTCTTTAGCCCTAATGGTTCTGCAAATCGCTATGTGGGGATTTGGTACGATGATGTTCCCACGTATAATGTTCTCTGGGTAGCGAACAGGGAGAATCCAATTTTCGACTCTTCTGGTGTTGTGATGATATCCGATGATGGTAATCTTGTGGTCATGAATGGAAAGAGGGAATTAGTTTGGTCATCAAATGTTCCCAACAACTCTGTAAACAATGCAAAAGCTCAGTTGTTAGATTCTGGGAACCTTGTCTTACTCAAACAGAGCTCTAACTCTAGTGCAAATGATCCAGATACTCTCTGGGAAAGTTTCCAGCACATGACCGATTCATTCTTAGCAAAAATGAAGCTTATCACTAGCTCAAGAACAAATCAGAAGCAGGCACTAACATCTTGGAGAAGCGCTTCTGATCCATCAATTGGAAGCTTCTCGGCGAGTCTTGGTACACAAAACATTCCTGAACTTTTCATTTTGAACGGCAGTTCTCTGTATTGGCGGAGTGGTCCATGGAATGGTAATATATTCATTGGAGTACCTAAGATGCAATCAGTCTATATTGATGGGTATAACCTGTTGGACGATCATGAAGGAACAGTCTATCTGACTTACAGTTTTGCTGAGGCGTCTCATTTGTCATATTTGTTATTGAAATCAAATGGGAATTTGGTGCAACCATATTTTAATCAGAGTAGCAGCTCCTGGGGGATTGTTTGGTCATCTCGGGTGAGTGATTGTGATGTCTATGGCCAGTGCGGACCATTTGGAATCTGTGATGCCAAGAAATCACCAATTTGTAGCTGCTTGAGAGGCTTTGAGCCTAAAAACTTTGAGGAATGGAGCAGAGGAAATTGGTCCAGTGGATGCATCCGGACATCATTGTTGCAGTGCAATGGAACTACAAATGGTAGCAGTACAGCCGGCAAAGAGGATGGATTTTTAAAGCTGGAACTGATGAAAGTGCCAAATTCTGGACATTTTTTTTCTACTCTTGAAGATGTTTGCCGAGGAAATTGCTCAATTAATTGTTCGTGTGTAGCATATGCATTTGACTCTGGTGTCGGCTGCATGCACTGGAGAGGAGACTTAATTGACCTGCAGAAGTTCTCCGATGGAGGAACAACTCTTTACATTCGGCTGGCCCACTCAGAACTTGGTAAATTAACTTTACTCTTAGATGATGGTTCTTATCAATTTGGTAAAACAGCTTATGTTTAGATGGATCAATACCTTCAGCTTGACTCATTCTTCAAAACTTGGCGGTTTTCATTAACAAACCAACACACGCACATGCGCACGCTCAAATATAGGCTCGAGCAGGGTCTAATATGGAGCCCTGATAAAGGAGCAGATTTTGCCTATCTTCTTGACTATGACCTAGTCTCCTTATTAGCTATAAAACAAGTGTTCCAAAATGATTCGTTTAGTAGTTGCTTACTAGCAGCATCAACATAATCTGAGGCATCAGTTTATGTCTCCGTTCTGATCTCCAGATGAAAAGAGACATCTGAGAGAAATCGTAGCAACTACAGTCATCATAGGAACACTCATTGTCATCATCACAATATGGTTTGCCAGGAGGAAGGCGAAAAAACGAGGTAACGAGTAATGCAGGTGTTGAATCTTGGAATTGCCAATAAATATCTGAGTTTGCATGGATTAAACAACAAACGTTGTTTGCTGGATCAGCAGTAAAGGAAAGCAAGGCAAAACATTTGTCCGGTGGAGAAGCCCCTTTAGTGGTTTCTAATGAAAAAATGCTTGGAGAGAACTTGAGCAGAGTTGAATTCCAGGAGTTCGTGAAATTTAAAATTGAAGAATTGGCCGCAGCAACAGAAAACTTTGGTGAGGCCAATAAGCTAGGACGGGGTGGTTTCGGGCCAGTATATAAGGTATAATTATTCATGTAGAGTTAAGTATTATATATGTAGGTGTGTGTGTGCGCGTGTTTATTTTAGTAGCTCATTTAGTCCCTGTGTACAGGGGAGACTACCAAACGGTCAGGAAATAGCAATCAAGAGGCTATCAAGAGCCTCAGGACAAGGGCAGCAGGAATTTGTGAACGAAATGGTGGTCATTTGTAAGGTCCAACATCGAAATCTTGTCAGACTTCTCGGATGCTGTGTTGAAGGAGATGAGAAAATGTTAATCTATGAATTCATGCCAAACAAGAGTCTAGACACATTTCTTTTTGGTAATATTTCGCTTATTTCAATGTTTCCTCAAACTATCATTTATACCATACATCCGGAAAGCCTCATTTGTACAGTTAGCCATTTGAACATAATTGGACTGTTCTTGCTGCAGATGCGATAAGTTTTTTGTTTGGCTTTGAACTTCTGTGCAGTTCACTCTTTTACAGTTGCAAAAATGAATTTTTTGCATTAAACTTCTATGTCTATTCAGATCCACTTAAACGAGTACATTTGGATTGGAGAACACGGTTCAACATAGTTGATGGAATTTGTCGAGGTCTTCTTTATCTTCATAGGGACTCTAGACTAAGGATTATTCATAGAGATTTGAAGGCAGGCAATATCCTGCTGGATGAAGATCTCAATCCAAAAATTTCAGACTTTGGAATGGCTCGGATATTTGGGGGAAACGAAAATCAAGCTAATACACGAAGAGTTGTGGGAACCTAGTTAGTACCTCTTTAATTTTGATGTTCCTAGTGATTTTATTCTCTACTCAGAATAAGGAATTTGAACCTGTTTGATGGAATGCAGTGGTTACATGGCTCCTGAATACGCAATGGAAGGGCGATTTTCGGAAAAATCAGACGTGTTTAGCTTCGGCATCTTATTACTGGAGATCATAAGCGGAAGACGGATCAGTAGTTTTCACGAGGAAGATCAATGCTCGAGCCTTCTAGAACTGGTAAGCTCTCATTCATATAGAAGTTGGGACTGCATTCTATTTTCGTGAACTGGAACTCCAATAGTAAATTGACTTGATTAATTTGCAGGCATGGAAGTTATGGAACGAAGACAACGTTTTAGCACTAGTGGACCCCAACATACCTGTGACATGCATTGAGGTTGAGCTTTTAAGGTGTATAAATGTGGGGCTTCTTTGTACACAAGAAAGGGCAAAAGATAGGCCTTCCATATCAACCGTTATTTCAATGATCAACAGTGAAATTGTGGATCTCCCTCGTCCAAAGCGACCTGCGTTCACCGTGAGGAAAATAACCCAAGACACAGATTCCTCCGGACAAAGCCAAAAGACATGTTCTGCCAACGATGTTACTCTTACTGATCTTCAAGGCAGATGACATGATCTGAATTTTTGCACGATTCTCACTACATTCCCTGTTCTTACTGTATTCAGTTCGACTAGTTTTATTTTTAGGCACTCTTGCTTTGAAATGTATAGAAACGCAAAACGTGAACTATTTTTTCCACTTTACAGTTTTTTACTACACATATTTGTGTCCTCAAAAGTTGGGGTTCAAATATTTGGTACCTTCTGTTGGGAATATTGCTTGTACTTCTCATCTCAGGAGGCAGTGGTTTATATGAAGTTCTGGAAAAATTGCGGACAGCCCCCCTCCACTATGGGGTGAATTGCAATTAGCCCCCTCCTTCAAATGTTTGCAACAACTCATTGACGTTTCTATATGTTCCAAATTAGAATCCAAATCTAAGCTGCGCTAGAAATACCCTCAAATTTGCATTAGCCTCAAGTGTTCACTAATATTCATCTCGCGTCATAAATTCGATGGCATGGCTAGCTCAAGCAATTCCACTGATTCAGTTGATGTGAGAAAGATATAGTTTATGTTCCTCAACATTGCAGTCCTTGTCGATTGATTGTACCATTTCAATCAGTAGGACTAGTTGTGAGCAACTGGAAACTAAGTTCGTGGAAATGTACATGAATCTACCAAGAAAGTGGCAATTCACGGAAAGCAATTGCGGCCACAATCCTGAATGAAGGCAAGAATCTAAAATTTCCATGGCATGCTCTCTCTAACTGGTCACTTTCAAAGACTCAAATGCTTTTCTACTGTTGCCGTCGTCAATGGGGCAAAAATCCTTATGTAGAAACTCTGGCACTTAGCTGATGCTCTCCCGTTGGCACGCTAGATCATTATACTTGACTCATAAGTCGAGGTGAAGTGACTCTTCAAGGAAAGACAATCAGTGCGACTGGTTGTAAGCAACTGGAAACTTAGTCCTTTCAAATGTTCATGAATCCACAAAATACGAGGAAATTAATGGGGACCACAATGTTGAATGATGGCAACGATCTAAAAATTTCCATGGCATGCTCTCTCTGACCGTTAATCCTCCAAGACTCGAATGCATTTTCTACAGTTGTCCTCGTCAATGGGTCAAAAATCCTGATGTAGAAACTCAACCGCTTAATTCATGCTCTCACGTTGGCTTGCTAGATCAACTCTTGAACCATAAGTCACGGCGAAGTGACACTTTAAGAATCTCACTAAGAGAAAAAATGACAATGTCGATAAGAGCCAAAGAGGAAAGTGGTCTGATTGGGGAGATGTTATATCCAACATGCTACTCAACAGTAAAGATCACCGTGTGGAAAACTTTTGAAAGGCCAGTTTAAGCCACCAGCCAGAAAAAATCAGGACATTGATAGCAATAGTTGACGAGGAAAATCTTCCCATTAGAGCAATATAAATTTCTTCATGGAGATGCTTGCAATGGAAAATTTACCTTTATCTTCAACCTCAAGGATTTCTTTCTATAATTGTGATTTCCACCTTCTGTCCTAAACTTCAGGTTGTGTCTTCTGATGTTGTAAAGCTAGTAAAATCAGTTGTTGCTGAGAAGAAAAATTCAAGTAGTCATGATACTTCTAGGAAAAGTAAGAATATTCCCTCTTTTTATTCTGTCTTGTTATGCTGTGAAATTTTGTTTTGGAGAAGATGTCATTACAGCTTCTGAGTACATCCAAGACCCTGGAAGTATCATATCAAGTGGCGGTTTCTACAGACTGGGATTCTTTAGCCCCAATGGTTCTACCAATCGGTATGTTGGAATTTGGCATAACAAGATTCCTGCATTTAACGTCTTTTGGGTTGCGAACAGGGAGAAGCCTGTTTCAGATTCTTCTGGTGTCATGACCATATCCGATGACGGTAATCTCGTGATAGTGAATGGAAAGAAGGATGTACTTTGGTCATCAAACGTTTCCACCTCCGGAGCTAATGCAAAAGCCCAATTATTAGATACCGGAAATCTTATCTTGCTCAAACAAAGTTCTAATACGAGCACAAATGATACAGAAATGGTATGGGAAAGTTTCCAGATCATGACTGATACATTCATGGCGAAAATGAAGCTTAGCACCAACGTTAGAACAAATGAGAAGCAGGTACTCACATCTTGGAAAAGCCCTTCTGATCCATCGATTGGAAGTTTCTCAATTAGTCTTGAACCGCAAGATATTCCTGAAGTTTTCCTTTGGAATGGCACTACTCTATATTGGCGGAGTGGTCCATGGAATGGTAAGGTTTTCATCGGAATTCCCGAGATGGAATCAGTCTATCTTGATGGATTTAGCTTAGTGGATGATAAAGAAGGAACTGTCTATCTGACTTACAATTTTGCGGAGGTGTCTTATTTGTCATACTTTTTTGTGAGGTCAAATGGGGAGTTGTTGCAGCCATTCTGGGATGAAAAATATAAGCATTGGCGGATTGATTGGTCAACCCGGGCGTCCGAGTGTGATGTTTATGGCAAGTGCGGGCCGTTTGGATTCTGTGATGCGAAGAAATCACCAATTTGCAGCTGCTTGAGAGGCTTCGTGCCTAAAATAGTTGAAGAATGGGGCAGAGGGAATTGGTCCAGTGGATGCATCCGGAGGTCATTGCTGCAATGTGACAGGATAAAAAATGGTAGTACTAAAGCTGGAAAAATGGATGGATTTGTAAAGCTTGAGAATGTGAAAGTGCCGAATTATGCAATCTGGTCATCTCCTTTGGAAGACAAGTGCCGAGAGCAGTGCCTCAGTAATTGTTCGTGTGCAGCATATGCTTATGATGAGGGCGTTGGTTGCATGTATTGGAGGCGAGACCTAATCGACGTACGGAAGTTTTCCTATGGAGGAACAACTTTTTATGTTCGACTGGCCCATACAGAAGTTGGTAAGTCATTCGTAAATATAAATTCTGCTCAATCTGGTAACGCGACTTACTGCAAGATGGTTAGGGAATTTCAATCTATGTGATATGCCAGGTGGAGTTGTGATCTATGAAAGGTAGCTAAACAGTTATTTTTTTCTCATTATCTGCTTCAATCTCAGATGTCTTTGTTTGTCCGTATTTTGATCTGCAGAAGGAAAAAGAGATCTGAGAGCAATTATAGCAGCTGCAGTTGTTGTGGCAACAGTTATTTTCAGTATTGGTACTTTCTTCGCTTGGAAGAAATCAAAAAAACAAGGAGGTAAAGACGGAGAACAATTTCCAGAGGCTTCTAGCGAGAACGTGCTTGGAGAGAACTTGAGCAAAGTCAATCTCCAGGAACTTGTGCTGTATAAATTAGAAGAGCTGGCCGCAGCAACAAGCAACTTTGGTGACGCAAACAAGCTCGGAGAGGGTGGCTTTGGGGCAGTATATAGGGTAATACTTTGTCGTGTAGAGGACAGCTACTCCATTATTCGTTCTTTCTTTTATTTTATTTTTTAATTTCAGCAGCTCATTTAAGTCCTTTTGTACAGGGGAGATTGCTAAATGGAAAAGAAATAGCAGTCAAAAGACTATCAAGGGCCTCAGGACAAGGATTGCAGGAATTTATCAATGAAATGGTGGTGATTTCCAAGGTCCAACATCGAAATCTGGTTCGACTTCTCGGATGCTGTGCCGAACAAGATGAGAAACTATTAGTCTATGAGTTCATGCCAAACAAGGGTCTAGATGCATTTCTTTTTGGTAATAGTCCATTTCTTACAGCATTCCGTCTATCTATCATCGGATACCAGTTTATAGGGCGGTCTAAATTTTTATTTTAGCTGTTTAAACAGCATCTGGCTGTACCTATTGCACATACTTCACATTTTCGGTTTAAATGGGAACCTCTTTCTGTGCATTTCACTCTTCTCCAGTCACAAAACTAACACATTATTTTACACTTCTGTTGTCAATTTCAGATCCGCTCAAACGAGAGCAACTGGATTGGAGAAGACGGTTCAACATTATTGATGGAATTTGTCGAGGCCTACTGTACCTTCACCGTGACTCCAGACTACGGATAATTCATAGAGATCTTAAGACGAGTAATATACTGTTGGATGAAGAGCTCAATCCAAGAATTTCAGACTTTGGAACGGCTAGGATATTTGGGGGAAAAGAAGATCAAGCAGATACACTAAGAGTTGTGGGAACCTAGTAAGTATTTCTTCTATTATGAGTCTCATACTGATTTTATCTTTGTACCTATCATAAGGAATATGAAATTGTTTCCTGGAATGCAGTGGCTACATGGCTCCAGAGTATGCGATGGAAGGTCGGTTTTCAGAAAAATCAGATGTCTTTAGCTTTGGAGTATTATTGCTGGAGATTGTAAGTGGAAGACAGAACACTAGCTTCAATGAGGAAGATCAATCCTTGAGCCTGTTAGGATTGGTAAGCTGTTACAAACAGAGAGATCACCCTATTTCCATCAACTCAAATTCCAAAAATAATTGGACTTGAATTCTGTTTTTTGGTAGGCTTGGAAATATTGGGAGGAAGACAATGCACAAGCACTAGTGGACCCTAAAATTTCTGTTGGATGCTTTGAGGTTGAGATTATAAGGTGCATAAAAGTGGGGCTGCTTTGTACACAAGAACTTGCAGAAGATAGGCCTACCATCTCAACTGTTATCTCGATGATTAACAATGAAATTGTTGGTCTTCCTAGTCCAAGCAAACCTGCATTCACCGAGAGGCAAACGACCACCGACACAGGTTCCTCAAGACAAATCCAGAAGAAATATTCTGTCAACCATGTCACTCTTACCGATCTTGAAGGCAGATAAAATGAGTATGCCTGAACCAATACGTTTGAAAGTTCAGCTCAGAGATGCAAACGATAGCCAGCTCGTGTCTTGGACATGGAGTGAATAATGAGTACTAGCATGGTCCTATTTACATGTACTGTTTTTAAAGCAGTCTTTATTTTTCTTCTCTTTTTTTTCCCTTAATCAAATTCAACCTTGCTTGAAAATGTATGAACATAAAATATTGAAATAGCAATCAATATCACTGTACGTAGGGTGACAGTTAGCGTTTGCTTGTTTGTGTCATTCCTAAGTTAGGAGGCGAATATGTGGCAATTTCCGTGTTGGTAATGCGTTTACTTCACATTTGAGGAAAATGGTTATTCCTATATTCAGGTACTTGTGTTAATATAGTACTTGTTGACTGATCAGATGATAAGAACCAACAATGGAACACATACTTGGTTTGTGGCTCAACACAATCTGGAACTATATCCAGATTCATACCATGAGTCCGAAGTGCAAGTGCAAGGAGTGGAACCAAAACCAGAAGCATAATTATAAACAACTTAAAAGTAAGCGCAAGATAATGTCAATCAAATGGCATGAACCTAGTACTCTGGAGAAAAGTTTTCTTCCATGTTTGTGTGTGTGGTCTTGTTGAACTTTCCCTCTTTTGCTCCAGATTTCCAATTGTCTGAGATCGCATTAGTAACTAAAGCATCGGGCACTGTGAAATAGGTCATTTTTGGTTCTTAAGACAAGGAAGAATCTGCTTACTTCAACTCACTATGGAAAGCATTTTCGACGAGAATGTCTGTTGGCATTGCAAAAATGCCAATCAAAGTTTCGAAGAACTGACAGAGATTAACAATGTTTAGAAATTGTTTTGGAGGATTAGCCGATAGATACTTGGTATTTGTCCAGAGAATTACCCTTGTAATAAGCTGAAAACCAAGTTAATTCAGCCTATAGAAGCTTGCCGTGAAAGAGAAAAGGAGAGTTGAGACCAGGTCATTAAAACAGAAAATGAAAAATAGGCATGAATGTCCCATGGAGACGAGTCAAGAATAGACACTCTTTATCGTATGATACTTGTTTTTATTGATGAAGAGTCTTATGATAACTTCTTTTTCTTTTACAAGACGAAAAATTTCCCGAAACTTTGTGCATTCATGTGTTATGATATTGTTACAGGAGTAGGGGATCTTCCTATTTTGACCGAGTAAAAAACCAGCGACCAGAGATCCATATGACCCCAAAGATGCCCAATGAGCTACGGTTGAAACTACAACATTTGATGAGCAACGACCTGAAAAGGAAATCCTGAACTACATTAAACAATCCAAGAATACTAAACCACGAAAAACAGCTTGCGGTCAACAAGGCCGCCCTGTTCTTCCCAAATTCCCAACACCAGAACATCTTTTAGGGGACAATAGCAAATGGCTAGGAATACAGAGGATTCACTTTGTCGACAGCCAATGGAAAGGTTAAGTTCTAGCCTAGAGGAATTGATACCGCCATTTGCCATGTGTGTATATAATCGAAGGTTTAACTTACTATTCTATAAACACATTAAAGATGCAAATATGGCAAGAATGTGGGAAATGAGTTCTTTTCGCTGTTGGCAGGTGGGAATCCTGTTTTTGTTGTTTGCTGTCAACCTAAAATGTATGCGCTGTTTGCTGTTTCTGTTTTTTGATTTCCAACAATATCTGGTGGGAATCCTGAAAACCTCCTCACAATGACAGGCGAATCTCTACTCCGTTTGTTCATGCCATACATAATTTTTCCCTTGATTTTCACATCTTCGTCTATCTAGTACTTGTACCAGTTCGACAAGAAATAGGTGGGTAGCCAAGATAGCTAAGCTATCATTTGTGGGTGCAAGACTTCTTTTGTAGTATTTGTATCTCTTTGATTAGGTCAAAGAGTAGTGGTGGGACACACTTTAGGAAAAAAACTAAAGGAAAAAGGAAAAGTTGACCTCAATAATGATGCAATAGTGGACGCTCCAGTTAAAAGGAACCGAGAGCAACGGGGAGTGAGAAAAGAAAAAGAGAGAAAGAAAGGACATAAGAAAATAGAAGAAAGGGAAAAGAGAAGCGGGTTTTGCGTCGCGAGGACCTCGCCAAGACGATTCAACTCCGTATCGCAATGCTCGGATTACAAGATGTTGGTTAATAAGAGTACATTTGGATTGGAGAGCATGGTTTCAACTTAATTGATGGAATTTAACGAGGTTTACTCTATCTTCACAGGGACTCTAAACTACGGATTATTCATAGAGATATGAAGGCAAGCAATATGCTGCTAGATGCATAGCTTAATCCAGAATTTTTGTACTTTGGAATGGCTTGGATATTTGAGGGAAATGAAAATCAAGCTGATACACGAAGAGTCGTGGAAACCCAGTTAGTACCTCTTTAATTTCAAAGTTCCTAGTGATTTTATTCTTTACTCATAATAAGGAATCTGAACTTATTTGATGGATAATCCAGCAATGACATGGCTCCTGAGTATGCAAAAATCGACATCAAAACCAAGCAAAACACTACTTTAACTTTAACCGCTAATAAAATGATTCTCACGCGTCAACAAATCGCTCGTCCAAATGGATTATTCAAAGCTATCCGTAACGTGAAACTTGCGCACGAGACTCTAAAATTTGGCTCCGACTAAACCATTAATTCAAAACGAGTCCCACCAAACCCCACGGCTCCACCACGCCCTAACCCATGATTTCCATAAAATTCCATAACTCAATAACTTCAAAATCGGACATGAGAGTCTCTGCTCTAATCAGGAAATCGATTAGACTAAATAAAGGGCTTAGCAATGCGAATCAAAATAAATTTAACTTAATAAAATTTTCGTAACGTGTACGTTCAAAACCCCCTTTTCTATTTTTTTTCCTTTCCCTTTCTTTCTCGTCTTTGCCCATTCTTCTTCTTTTCTTCTTTCTCTTGTGCGCGTGTTCTCTGCCCATTTTATAAGCCGAGCGGTCCACCTGTCCTTTTTGTTGACTAGTTAACTTTTTCTTTCTTTTTTTACCCTTCAACTTTTTTGACTTAGTCAAAACCCACGTATTACGTCTTTTACGCACAACTTGGTTTTTACTCTCCTCTTTCCCCCGCCAACCTGACAGCGAAAATTTGGTTTTTAGTCCCCGTTCGTTTCGACAATTTAATTTTTATATATTGTTCATTTCGCGAAAAACGTTATATTTTTTAAAAATATTTTTCAGAAGTTATTTTTCTAAAAAATGACACAATTTTCTATGTTTGGCTAAAATTTTAAAAAATTTCAAAAAATATTTTCAGCCGTTCGGTACGAAAAATATTTTCCTTCGTGCACTATTTTGAATAGTTTTTTATTTTCTATTTTAATATATATTTTTTCTCTTTTTTATTTCCCTTTCTTTCTTCCTCTGCCGGTCGCCGTGGCGCGACGCCATATCTGGCAAGGCTCGGCCTCGCTTGAGCTCGCCGGCCTTGGGCGAGCGAGGCCTCGCCTCGCCTCGCTGGTCTCGAGCTCCGCCGAGCATCACCGGATCTGGCGAGGCGAGGCGTCGCTCGAGCTCGCCAGCCGTGGGACGAGACGAGGGCCGAGCCTTGCTTCGTACACAGCACTCTTGCTTCGTACAAATTGGAGTAGTCTTGCCTATTTATACTAGTATATAGTCGATGGAGTAAATATCCAGTCTTCTAAATATTTCCTAGACTAATCATTACACAAAAGCTGGCTTTGACTGATTTTTTCCTAGACAATTCTGGAGTGGCGGCTTGGAGAAGAAAACTGGAGCCTCTCTTCAACTTGCCAACTTGACAGTTGGATTTTTCTTAAGAAAATTTTGGACATGATAATTTCTAGAAAATCTGCGAATGAGAGAAAGCATAAGGCTGGATTTTTCTGGAAGTATGTGGACAAATCCAGAGAGAGGCGTTGTTCTTTAGATGATAGAGATCATATGCAACTCTCGTATGCTGAATACTGGATACTATTAGCTAGAACAATCATATCCTTCAATACCGCTTTCTTTATGGAGCTCATTATGTCCATTAGCCTTGGACTATGCAAACGATGATTAGGCCTTGTGGGTATCTCTTGTAGTGGGAAACCGCCATCACCTTGACCCACAAGGCCTTCCTCTGCAAAATTCTGATTTTAATCTTCTGTCCTCAAATTCACTTGCCGGTCGTGGTGTTCTTGGTACTTTCTCTACCAAAGCCAGTAGTGCTGCAGCAGCGTGCCGTGTTATATAGGTTGTTGTTGAGGAGGAATAATTCCAGTTGTCATTATGATATTTCTGGGAAAAGCAAGATTGTTCTCTCTTTTTCTAATGTCTCGTTATGTTGTTAAATTTTGCATTGGAGGAGATGTCATCACAGCAACTGAGTATATCCAAGACCCTGGAAGTATCACATCAAGTGGAGGTCTCTACAGAATGGGATTCTTTAGCCCTAATGGTTCTGCAAATCGCTATGTGGGGATTTGGTACAGCAATGTTCCTACGAATAATATTCTCTGGGTAGCAAACAGGAAGAATCCGATTTTAGACTCTTCTGGTGTCATGACGATATCTGGTGATGGTAATCTTGTGGTCGTGAATGGAAAGAGGGAATTAGTTTGGTCATCAAATATTTCTAACTCCGTAAACGACGCAAAGGCTCAACTGTCAGATTCTGGGAACCTTGTCTTGCTCAAACAGAGCTCTAACTCCAGTGCAAATGGGGCTGAAACTCTCTGGGAAAGTTTCCAGCACATGACCGATTCATTCTTGGCGAAAATGAAGCTCAGCACTAACTCAAGAACAAATGAGAAGAAGGCACTGACATCTTGGAAAAGCCCTTCTGATCCATCAATTGGAAGCTTCTTGGCAAGTCTTGATACACGAGGCATTCCCGAACTTTTCATTTGGAATGGCAGTTCTCTTTATTGGCGTAGTGGTCCATGGAATGGTAATATTTTCATCGGAGCACCCGAGATGCAATCACTCTATATTGATGGGTTTAACTTAGTCGACAATCACGAAGGAACAGTGACTTACAGTTTTGCTGAGGCGTCTTCTTTGTCATACCTGTTATTAAAATCAAATGGGGATTTGGTGCAACCATATTTGGATCAGAATAGCAGTTCCTGGGGGATTGCTTGGTCATCTCGAGGGAGCGATTGTGATGTCTATGGCCAGTGCGGACCGTTTGGAATCTGCAATGCCAAGAAATCACCAATATGCAGCTGCTTGAGAGGCTTTGAACCTAAACACCTTGAGGAATGGAGCAGAGGGAATTGGTCCAGTGGATGCGTTCGGAAGTCATTGTTACAATGCAATGGAACTACAAATGGTAGCAGTAAAGCCAGCAAAAAGGATGGATTTTTTAAGCTGGAACTGATGAAAGTGCCAAATTATGGAATTTGGACCGACGATGATTGTCAAGGGAATTGCTTCAGTAATTGTTCATGTGTAGCATATGCATATGATTCTGGTGTCGGCTGCATGTACTGGAGTGGAGACCTAATTGACCTACAGAAGTTCTCCGTTGGAGGAACTACTCTTTACGTTCGGCTGGCCCACTCAGAACTTGGTAAATTAACTTTACTCTTAGATGATGGTTCTGATCAATTTGGTACTGCAGCTTATCTATAGACGGATCAATACGGCTCGACTCATTCTTCTAGACTCGACGGTTTGCATTAACAAACCAACACACGTGCACACTCAAACATAGGCACGAGCAGGGTCTAATATGGAGTCCTGAAAAGGAACAGATTTCACATATCTTCCTGACTATGACCAAGTATCATTATTAGCTATAAACAAGCGTTCCAAAATTGTTAATTTTCTAGTGGCTTACTAGCAGTGTCAACATAGTTTGAGACATCAGTTTATATATCTGCTCGGATCTGCAGAAAAAAAGAGATATCTGAGAGAAATCATAGCAACTACAGTCATCATAGGAACACTCATTGTCATCATCACAATATGGTTTGCCAGGAGAAAGGCGAAAAAACAAGGTAACCGAGTAATGCAGCTTTCAGATCATGGTACACAATCAGTTCTGAGTTTGCATGGATTAACTAACAAAAATTTATTTCTGGATCAGCAGTAAAGGAAAGCAAGGAAATTTATTTATCCAATGGAGAAGCACCTTTAGTGGTTTCTAGTGAAGAAATGCTTGGAGAGAACTTGAGCAGAGTTAAATTCCAGGAGTTTGTGCTATATAAAATTGAAGAATTGGCTGCGGCAACAGGAAACTTTGATGATGCCAATAAGCTTGGACGGGGTGGTTTTGGGCCAGTATATAAGGTATAAGTATACATGTAGGTATTATAAATGTTATGTCTGTTCATTTTAGTAGCTCATGTAGTTCTTGTGTACAGGGGACACTACCAAACGGTCAGGAAATCGCAATCAAGAGGCTATCGAGAGCCTCAGGACAGGGGCAGCAAGAATTTGTGAACGAAATGGTGGTCATTTGTAAGGTCCAACATCGAAATCTTGTTAGACTTCTCGGATGCTGTGTCGAAGGAGACGAGAAAATGTTAATCTATGAATTCATGCCAAACAAGAGTCTAGACACATTTCTTTTTGGTAATATTTCGCTTATTATAATGTTGCCTTGTACTATCATTCATACCACTATATCTGGAAACCCTCATTTGTATAGTTAGACTTTTAGGCTCCGTTTATTTCGCGAGAGTGAATGATTCTAAAAATGATCATTTGTATCATTTACAAAAATAAATGGAAAATACTTTCACTGTCTACAAAAATGTTTAGATATAAATTGTCGGTGATGAAAATATTTTTTATTGACTAATTATTTTAAGCAATACAAGCGATCCCTTTTAGGAAAATATTGTTCAAATCATTCATTTTCCCGTAAACAAACGTAACCTTAAACAGGATTGTCATTGTTCCTTCCGCAGATACTTCCAATTGTCTCGTTTGGCTTTGAACTTCTTTATGTGCATTTCAATCTTTCCCAGTTGCAAAAAATGAACTTTTTGCATTTTACTTCTATTATCTATTCAGATCCAGTTAAACAAGTACATTTGGATTGGAGAACACGGTTCAACATAATTGATGGAATTTGTCGAGGTCTACTTTATCTTCATAGGGACTCTAGATTAAGGATTATTCATAGAGATATGAAGGCTAGCAATATACTGCTGGATGAAGAGCTCAATCCAAAAATTTCAGACTTTGGAATGGCTCGGATATTTGGGGCAAACGAAAATCAAGCTAATACACGAAGAGTTGTGGGAACCTAGTCAGTACCTTTTTTTTTTTCAATGTTGCGAGTGATTTTATTCTCCACTCAGAATAAGGAACCTGATCTTGTTTGATGGATAATGTAGTGGTTACATGGCTCCTGAATACGCAATGGAAGGGCGATTTTCGGAAAAATTAGATGTCTTTAGCTTTGGCATATTATTACTGGAGATCATAAGTGGAAGACGGAACACTAGTTTTTATGAGGAAGATCAATTCTTGAGCCTTCTAGGACAGGTAAGCTCTCATTGATATGGAAGTTGGAACTGCATTGTGTTCTCATAAACTGGAACTCCAATAGTAAGTTGACTCGATTAATTTGCAGGCATGGCAGCTGTGGAATGAAGACGATACTCTAGCCCTAGTGGACCCAAACATTCCTGTTAGATGCTTCAAGGTTGAGCTTTTAAGGTGCATAAATGTGGGGCTTCTTTGTACACAAGAAAGGGCGAAAGATAGGCCTTCCATATCAACTGTTATCTCAATGATCAACGGTGAAATTGTGGATCTTCCCCGCCCGAGGCAACCTGCATTCACCGCGAGAAAAATAACCCAAGACACAGATTCCTCCGGACAAAGCCAAAAGACATGTTCTGCCAACGATGTTACTCTTACTGTTCTTCAAGGCAGATGACATGATCTGAGTTTTTGCACGATTCTCACTATGTGTCCTGTTCTTACTGTTTCAAGTTCGACTAGTTTTATTTTTACACAATCTTGCTTGGAAATGTATACAAACGCAAAACATAAACTATTTTTTTCCACTTTACAGTTCTTTACTACACATATTTGGGTCATCAAAAGTTGGGCTTCAAATATTTGGTACCTTCTGTTGGGAATATTGCTTGTACTTCTCATCTCAGGAGGCAGTGGTTTAGACAGAGTTCTGGAAAAATTGCGAACAGGCCCGCTCTACTGTGGGGTGAATTGCAATGAGCCCCCACCTTCAAATGTTTGCTACTACCCCTTGACGTTTCTATTTGTTCCAAATTAGAATCCAAATCTTGGCAACGCTAGAAATACCCTCAAATTTGCAATAGCCTCAAGTGTTCACTAATTTCATCTCGCATCATAAATTCAATGACATGGCTAGCTCAAAATATTCCACTAATCCTGTTGAGGTAAGAAGATATAGTTGATTTAACTCAACACTGCAGTCCTTGTCGATTGATTGTACGATTTCAATCAGTATGACTAGTTGTGAGCAACTGGAAACAACCAAGAAAGTGGAAATGTCATGAATCTACCAAGAAAGTGGCAATTCACGGAAAGCAATTGGGGCCACAATGTTGAATGAAGGAAACGATCTAAAATTTCCATGGCATGCTCTCTCAGACTGGTAATCCTCCCAGACTCAAATGCTTTTTCTACAGTTGCCCTCTTCAGTGGGGCAAAAATCCTGATGTAGAAACTCAAGCACTTAGTCAATGCTCTCACCTTGGCAACTACACCTTGACGTTTCTATTTGTCCCAAATTGGAATCCAAATCTTAGAAACGCTAGAAAATTTTCTTTAACCGTAAATTGTTTTTATAAAAATTAATACTTTGTTTTACACAAAGTTATTAATCGTTTACAAATATATTGTAATAGATTTTTCTCATAAAAAATTACTAAATGAAATTTTTTTTATTAAATAGTAACTCCTGATATGTTGAAGAAAGGGTTGATATGAATATTCACTAGTTATATAAAAACATTACTAGTGACTATCGATAGATAGTTAGATGCTTAATTTCTCCATCTGAAATTTTTTTATTTTTATATATCTATATATTTATGAGATTATGAATATCTATATCAGATAATTCCGATTCTATCTAAACAGCAAAGTGGGCAAGTCTGGATAAATAATTTGTTATTTCCACAGAAAATTCTAAATTGGTTCACTCGTGCCACATTTGCCTAAATTAATATTCATGTCACAAAAATCTCAACCCAATACCCTCATGCAACATTTAACCCAAACTAATTTTTATGTTATAGAAAATCTCAAATGGTTTTCCCGTTAGCTACCATCTCCAATATCTTGTCAGCCTTCGTTCAATTTTTTTATACGAAAATTAGTTTGGGTTAAATTTAAGGTATGACCGAAAATTAGTTAGGGTAAATATAATACGGTGTACTATTTAACAGATATTTAATGGAACGAAAATCAATTTAGGGAAAATGTGACACGAATTTACCGATTTGGAATTTTATGGTAATAGTCCATGCCCATGAAGACCCAGTCAGTTTAATGAACAAATTACAAAATATATTTACACGACACCCATCCCGACCGTTACGCAAGGGACAACCTCTCAAATCTCATGTCTTCATTACCCAAACTTTGGTTTCACATTTCGTTCTCTCTTCTTGCACGGCGAAATGACAGCGATAGGTTGAATTCGGAAAGCGTCCAAAGAGCAGAGTCCCCTCCGACACGTCATGTCTTTCCTTCCCTCCACTTGTGCGAAAAGATTGAGAGAGTGGGGACTGCCACGACGTCTTGACCCACCAACCGGTCTTCGTCCCTCAAATCCACATGCTCTCTAATCGAGTCACTGGGGAGATGTGATCCCTCCTCCTCCTCTCCCGCTTGGCTTGACGGGTTCAGCAGCCACTGGCAGTAGGCCCAGGATGGGCTTTCGTCATTTTCGCCGCCCGCAGCCTGTGAGACAGCGAACAGGTGGAGAAAGATTGGGGTGTCAGCATTTGCGGTTTTGGGGGGAAACTAGATATCTTTTGTGTTTCGACGTGGTCTGAGACATCAGTTCATGTCTCCGTTGTGATCTGCAGGTGAAACGAGACATCTGAGAGAAGTCATAGCAACTACAGTCATCATAGGAACACTCGTTGTCATCATGACAATATGGTTTGCCAGGAGGAGGGCGCAAAAGAGAGGTAACGAGTAATGCAGCTGTTAGATCCTCGCATGCCATTTAGTTCTGAGTTTGCATGGATTATATAATTAAGACCGTTGTCTGGAACAGCAGAAAAGGAAAGCAAGGAAAAGCATTTATCCAATGGAGAAGCCCCATCAGTGGTTTCCAGGGAAAAAATGCTTGGAGAGAACTTGAGCAGAGTTAACTTCCAGGAGCTTGTGCTGCATAAAATTGAAGAATTGGCTGCGGCAACAGGAAACTTTGGCGACGCCAATAAGCTCGGACGAGGTGGCTTTGGGCCAGTATATAAGGTATAATTATTCATGTAAAGTATCATATATGTGAGTGGGTGGGTGGGTGTGTGAGTGTGTGTGTGTGTCAATTTTAGTGGCTCATTTAGTCCGTGTACAGGGCACACTCCCAAACGGTCAGGAAATTGCGATCAAGAGGCTATCGAGAGCGTCAGGACAAGGGCAGCAAGAATTTATGAACGAAATGGTGGTCATTTGTAAGGTCCAACATCGAAATCTCGTTAAACTTCTCGGATGCTGTGTTGAAGGAGATGAGAAAATGTTAATCTAAGAATTCATGCCCAACAAGAGTCTAGACACATTTCTTTTTGGTAATATTTCTCTTTTTCAGTGCTGCCTCAAACTATCATTTATACCACTATATCCGGAAAGCCTCATTTGTATAGTTAGCCATGTAAACAGGATTGGGCTGTCCTGCTGCAGATGCTTTAACAATTCTGTTTGGCTTTGAACTTCTTTCTGTGCATTTCAATCTTTCCCAGTTGCAAAAAATGAACTTTTTGCATTTTACTTCTATTGTCTATTCAGATCCAGTTAAACGAGTACATTTGGATTGGAGAACACGGTTCAACATAATTGATGGAATTTGTCGAGGTCTACTTTACCTTCATAGGGACTCCAGACTAATGATAATTCATAGAGATTTGAAGGCTAGCAATATCCTGCTGGATGAAGAGCTTAATCCAAAAATTTCAGATTTTGGAATGGCTCGGATATTTGGGGGAAACGAAAATCAAGCTAATACACGAAGAGTTGTGGGAACCTAGGTAGTAGCTCTTTATTTTTCGACGTTCCTAGTGATTTTATTCTCTACTCAGATTAAGGAATTTGAACCTGTTTGATGGATGACGCAGTGGTTACATGGCTTCTGAATACGCAATGGAAGGGCGATTTTCGGAAAAATCAGATGTGTTTAGCTTCGGCATATTATTACTGGAGATCATAAGTGGAAAACAGAACACCAGTTTTTATGAGGAAGATCAATTCTTGAGCCTGCTAGGACAGGTACGCTCTCATTGATATGGAAGTTGGAACTGCATTGTGTTCTCATAACTGGAGATCATAAGTGGAAAACAGAACACCAGTTTTTATGAGGAAGATCAATTCTTGAGCCTGCTAGGACAGGTACGCTCTCATTGATATGGAAGTTGGAACTGCATTGTGTTCTCATAACTGGAACTCCAATAGTAAGTTGACTCGATTAATTTGCAGGCATGGCAGCTGTGCAATGAAGACAATATTCTAGCCCTAGTGGACCCAAACATTCCTGTTAGATGCTTCAAGGTCGAGCTTTTAAGGTGCATAAATGTGGGGCTTCTTTGTACACAAGAAAGGGCAAAAGATAGGCCTTCCATATCAACTGTTATCTCAATGATCAACGGTGAAATAGTGGATCTTCCCCATCCAAAGCGACCTGCATTCACCGCGAGGAAAATAACCCAAGGCACAGATTCCTCCGGACATAGCCAAAAGACATGTTCTACCAATGATGTTACTCTTACCGTTCTCCAAGGCAGATGACATGATTTGAATTTTTGCACAATTCTCAGTGTGTCCTGTTCTTACTGTTTCGAGTTTGACTAGTTTTATTTTTAGGCAATCTTGCTTGGAAATGTATACAGACGCAAACCATGAACTATTTTTTCCACGTAACAGTTCTTTACTACACATATTTGTGTCATCAAAAGTTGGGGTTCAAATATTTGGTACCTTCTGCTGGGAATAATGCTTCTACTTCTCATCTCTGGAGGCAGTGATTTAGATAAAGTTCTGGAAAAATTGCGGACAGCCCCCCTCCACTACTGGGTGAATTGCAATTAGCCCCCTCCTTCAAATGTTTGCTACTACTCCTTGACGTTTCTATTTGTTCCAAATTAGAATCCAAATCTTGGTAAAGCTCGGAATACCCTCAAATCTGCAATAGCCTAAGTGTTCACTAATGTTCATCTCATGTCATAAATTCAATGACATGGCTAGCTCAAAAAATTCCACTAATCCTGTTGATGTGAGAAAGATATAGCTGATTTTACTCGACGCTGCAGTCCTTGTTAATTGATTGAAGGATGTCAATCAGTATAATTAGTTGTAAGCAACTGGAAACCAAGTGCATAGAAATGTTCATGATACTGAAAACAAAATGGCAATTGAAGGAAAGCAATTGGGGCCACAATCTCGAATGAAGGCAACAATTTGAAATTAGCCTTATTACATTTGAGCTTCTTTCTGTGCTTTTCACTCTAAACCAGTCACGAAAATGATACAAAATTTCTGCATTTGCTTATGTTGTCATTTCAGATCCATTCAAGTGCGAGCATCTTGATTGGAGAAGATGGTTCAACATTATTGATGGAATATGTCGAGCCCTATGGTACCTTCACGGGGGCTGTAAGACTAAGGATAATTCATAGAGATCTAAAGGCAAGTGATATCCTCTTGGATGAAGAGCTCAATCCAAAATTTCAGACTTTGGAATGGCAAGGATCTTTAGAGGCAACGTAGATCAGCAAACACGCGAAGAGTCATGGGGACCTTGTTAGTACCTCTTTTACATTTTGAATTTCCTACCAGTTTTGTTTTCTACTCAGCATGTGGAATCTAAAAGTTAATGATGGAATGCAGTGGTTAATATGGTGCCTGAGTATGCAATGGAAGGGTGTTTTTCGGGAAAATCAGTTGTCCTTAGCTTTGGCATGTTATTACTGGAGATCATGAGTGGAAGACAGAACACCAGCTTTAACGACAAAGATCAATCCTTGAGTCTTCGAGGATTTTTAACCCGTTATTGATGTAGAACGGTGATTTGTTTCCAAACACTGACATTACAGTAGTAAATTGACTTCAGCTTCGTGCAGGCATGAAGTCGTGGAAGGAAGACAATGCTCTGGCACTAGCGGACCCAAAAATATCTGTTAGATGCTTTGAAAAAAGAAGTTTTAAGGTGCATAAATGTGGGTGGTCCTCTTTGCTCACGAGAATTTGTAAAATTTAGGCCGACCATTCCAACTGTCATTTCGATGCTCCAAAGCGAAATTGTGGATCTGCCTAGTCCGAACCAACCTGCCGTCACCAAGAGACATCTAATCCGGGACACAGATAGCTCCAAACCTACCTGCATTCATGGAGAGGCAAACAGCCATGGAGGTTCTATCAACCATGTTTCTCACCACTATTGTAGGCCGATAAGAGTGTTCTCGAGATGGACATTCTTGAAAACTTAGCTCAAAGCTGAACGTTTTCACATTTTGCAATCGGTTGTTATTTTTATTCAAAAGTACAATGTTTACTGTTCATTGGTTCTTTTTTTTTTTTTTTTCTAAATTATCTTTCTGCCAAAAGTATTAAAGCCAAAACAAGGAAAATTGAACAGGCCAACTTTTGTAAGTTGGTGACGGTTTGATGCTTATTGAGCATGTCAAGCATGAAGTGCAGGTGGACGGTGCTCTTGCAGATTAAGGTATTCTGAGCTGAATTCAGTTAATGTGAACAACATCCAGAATGTGTCGATGAAAGTTACTCAAGTCTAGCAGCAAGACCACCAAATTAGAACCACTTGCAAGTTGCAGCATGCATCACATCATGATCCACTTGGTAAAGATCTTCCGTTGCAAAGGTGGAGTAGGTCCCCGTTGCCATGGAAATTTGATAGATACAACAACTCCATCATCAAATTCACCAGGGCACGCCCAACATTAGATGTTGGTCGTGTCCAAAGTGGTGGTGGTGGGGGTAATGGCCTCAGAGCAGCAAAGATATGAGGTTTTCTGTACATATGTAGTAATGTCAAGGTGCAACGGCATCCTTACCATGAAAATTTAGTCATCAGTTTCATTGCAGGCGTAATATAAAGGTCTGCATACGCAAAAACACTCTGTTTTGGAAAAAAGAGTTAGCCAACTCTCTCTTTTCTCTTTGGCATGGACAAATCACTTGCCCATTTGAATCATTCCCAAATTAGAAACATTGGGGGTAAAGAAGAGAGTTGAAGCAGATTCTTCTTCATTGAATGGGACGGTATTATGAACTTTCCTTCTAGGACACTTTTTAGGGCCACAAAAAAGTGAGGGAAAGTGAAGTGCTAGGTGACAATGGCAGAGTGAAAAAAAAAATTTGAGTTTGTGATTTTCTTGATGTGAAATTGGAGGAAATGGACAATGTGAGTTGAGTATTTTGCCCTGACTAGTGGATGGAAATTGCACTTGGCAGCACCCATTATAAAAATCATTGAACTTAATATAAGACTTACTTAGTGTGATTACTAATATATTGAAATTTATTTTCCATTTGAAAAGTCACAAACCATACGTTAAGATTGTCAATTTTGTTAGGTTGAAAGTAGTTTTCCCTTAAAAAAATTATCAATCACTAGAAAAATTTACTAGTTAATCAAAATATACACAATTACATGAAAGGTTGCTCAACCTACATTAGTCCAAAAACGTTATAAAACCAATACTTTTTTCACATAAAAGTTATTGACCATCTACAGAATTTGTTGCTTACCTATAATTGTTATGAAAACTTACTAGTCCTGTCAAAAAATTTACTAAATTGTTACTTCTGATATGTTGAAAAATGTATCATTGCCGAAATTCATCAGTTATATAAAAAAAATAACTAGTGACTATAGATAGATAGGTAAATGCTTACTTTGTTAATATGAAAATCTCTTATTATATGCATGTATATATGTATATTGACTCTGTCCAAACAGCAAAATGAACAGAGCTTGGATAAGTAATCATTACGAGGGATTGTGGATGATAATTTTAAATACTTGAATAGAATTGATTCGCTTGCTTATCGAACAGGTCTATTACGACAACAACCGGCGATTCCGGGTCGGCCCTATCGAGCGAACCGGCCGGACCCCAAACCGTGCCCAACTCTGGGGACAACCTCTCAATTCCTTCTCACACAGCTTGGTTCGCACGTTGTCTCTCTGCTCGGGCGCCGAAAGGACATCGATGATTCAATTCGGAAGGCGTCCAAAAGGCAGAGTCCCCTCCGACACGTCCTTTCGTTCAACTTCCCCCGCCGTCCCCTCCTTCCTCGTCTCGTGCGAAGTAGATTGAGAGCGTTGCGACTGTGGCCATGTGACCTCGGTGCGGACTACTTGACCCACCACTGTCTTCGTCCCTCAGTCTCATCTCACGCAGCTCACGAGCTCTAACGAGTCACTGCAGACGTGACGTCCGGTCCTCGTCGTCCTCCTCCTCTCGCGCGTGGCCTGACAGGTGCAGCGGTGAGTGGAAGTTGGTGTGGGATTTGACTTTCGTAAACTTGAGTTGTCCGCAGCCTCTTGAGACGACGAATAGGTTGAGATAGAAAAAAGTACCAGCATTTGCGGTTTTAGTGGGAAAGTAGAGATATTTTGTGGTTCTTGAGGAAGAAAGAGTAATTTGGGCTCATGCAAGTTCAGCCATCAGATGGCAAAAGTAAATTCTTTTGCATTTCCAATAATCATTAATTAATGATGCTTAACAGAAATAACAAGCCTGTGACATAGTTCAGAGAAATTACTGACCGATTGACTAAAAGATGTCGACTTTGATAGAACGTATTAAATTTGGTTGCTCGAGGTCGTAATGCATTAAATTGTGATGATGCACGTATTGGCTCGCCATGAAAGTTTCAAATGTTTTGAATTATAGAGAAACCAAAAAAATTTGGGCATGAATTTTTAAGGGACCAATTTTATCGAGTCACGAGTTAATGAGGAATTCTTAAGAGTGTATTTGAAATGACTTTTTCTCCCTTACATTGTTTTTTTTTTTTTCAAATTTTGTGAAAAATCATATGGTTTTACAAGAGTTCAAATGTTAATATCCATATACTATATGAAATTTGCGACGCACGATACTTCAAATGAAATTTAAGACGCTAAGCAGAAAATGAAAGTCGACTGAACATAGCCTAAGAATCTCATGACCAAGAACAAGAGAATTGTTTATATGAAGAACAAGTGGCTGGAGTGAAGACGGTAGAGATCCAATATGCAACGCCTGTGCTAAATAGTCGAGACCACAATCTTGAACTCTGCGAAGAGCTGTGGGGCCATTTGCTAGGAAAATCAGATTCTTCGATACCGCTTTCTTCATGGTGCTCCGTAAGTCCTTTAACCGGGGACTGTGCAGTGACACTTAGGCCATGTGGGTATCTCTTGTAGTGGGAAACCGCCATCACCTTCAACCACTAGGCCGTCCTCTGCAAAATTCTGATTTTCATCTTCTGTCCTCAAATTCACTTGCGGCTGGTGGTTTTCTTGGCACTTTCTCTATCATAGCCAGTAGTGCTGCGGCAGCGTGCCATGTTATAGTTTGAGGAGGAAGGATTCAAGTTGTCATCATGATATTTCTGGGAAAAGTAAGATTGTTCTCTCTTTCTGATGTCTCATTATGTTGCAAAATTTTGCATTGGAGGAGATGTCATCACAGCAACTGAGTATATCAAGGACCCTGGAAGCATAACATCAAGTGGAGGTGTCTACAGAATGGGGTTCTTTAGCCCGAACGGTTCTGCAAATCGCTATGTGGGGATTTGGTACAATAATGTTCCTAAATCTAATGTTCTCTGGGTAGCGAACAGGGAGAATCCGATTTTAGACTCTTCTGGTGTTGTGACGATATCCGATGATGGTAATCTTGTGGTCATAAATGGAAAGAGGGAATTAGTTTGGTCATCAATTGTTTCCAACTCTGTAGCCGATGCAGAAGCTCAGTTGTTAGATTCTGGGAATCTTGTCTTGCTCAAACAGAGCTCTAACTCTAGTGCAAATGCTGCAGAGACTCTTTGGGAAAGTTTCCAGCACATGACCGATTCGTTCTTAGCGAAAATGAAGCTCAGCACTAACTCAAAAACAAATGAGAAGCAGGCACTAACATCTTGGAGAAGCCCTTCTGATCCATCAATTGGAAGCTTCTCAGCGAATCTTGATCCACGAAACATTCCTGAACTTTTCATTTGGAACGGCAGTTCTCTTTATTGGCGGAGTGGCCCATGGAATGGTAATATATACATTGGAGTACCTAAGATGCAATCAGTCTATATTGATGGGTATAGCCTGGTCGACGATCATGAAGGAACAGTCTATCTGACCTACAGTTTTGCTGAGGCGTCTTATTTGTCATACTTGTTATTGGAATCAAATGGGGAATTGGTGCAACCATATTTGGATCAGAATAGCAGTTCCTGGGGTATTGTTTGGTCATCTCGAGTGAGCGATTGTGATGTCTATGGCCAGTGCGAACCGTTTGGAATCTGCGATGCCGAGAAATCACCAATTTGTAGCTGCTTGAGAGGCTTTGAGCCTAAAAACTTTGAGGAATGGAGCAGAGGAAATTGGTCCAGTGGATGCATCCGGACATCATTGTTGTAGTGCAATGGAACTACAAATGGTAGCAGTACAGCCGGCAAAAAGGATGGATTTTTAAAGCTGGAACTGATGAAAGTGCTAAATTCTGGATATTTTTTTTCTACTCTTGAAGATGTTTGCCGAGGAAATTGCTCAATTAATTGTTCGTGTGTAGCATATGCATATGACTCTGGTGTCGGCTGCACGCACTGGAGAGGAGACTTAATTGACCTACAGAAGTTCTCCGATGGAGGAACAACTCTTTACGTTCGGCTGGCCCACTCAGAACTTGGTAAATTAACTTTACTCTTAGATGATGGTTCTTATCAATTTGGTAAAACAGCTTATGTTTAGATGGATCAATACCTTCAGCTTGACTCATTCTTCAAAACTTGGCGGTTTTTATTAACAAACCAACACACGTGCACATGCGCACGCTCAAATATAGGCTCGGGCAGGGTCTAATATGGAGCCCTGATAAAGGAGCAGATTTTGCATATCTTCTTGACTACGACCAAGTCTCCTTATTAGCTATAAAACAAGTGTTCCAAAATGATTCGTTTAGTAGTTGTTTACTAGCAGCATCAACATAATCTGAGGCATCAGTTTATGTCTCCGTTCTGATCTCCAGATGAAAAGAGACATCTGATAGAAATCATAGCAACTATAGTCATCATAGGGACACTCATTGTCATCATCACAATATGGTTTGCCAGGAGGAAGGCGAAAAAACGAGGTAACGAGTAATGCAGGTGTTGAATCTTGGAATTGCCAATAAATATCTGAGTTTGCATGGATTAAACAACAAACGTTGTTTGCTCGATCAGCAGTAAAGGAAAGCAAGGCAAAACATTTGTCCGGTGGAGAAGCCCCTTTAGTGGTTTCTAATGAAAAAATGCTTGGAGAGAACTTGAGCAGAGTTGAATTCCAGGAGTTTGTGAAATTTAAAATTGAAGAATTGGCCGCAGCAACAGAAAACTTTGGTGAGGCCAATAAGCTTGGAGGGGGTGGTTTCGGGCCAGTATATAAGGTATAATTATTCATGTAGAGTTACGTATTATCTATGTAGGTGTGTGTGCACACGTGTTTGTTTTAGTAGCTCATTTAGTCCCTGTGTACAGGGGAGACTACCAAATGGTCAGGAAATAGCAATCAAGAGGCTATCAAGAGCCTCAGGACAAAGGCAGCAGGAATTTATGAACGAAATGGTGGTCATTTGTAAGGTCCAACATCGGAATCTTGTCAGACTTCTCGGATGCTGTGTTGAAGGAGATGAGAAAATGTTAATCTATGAATTCATGCCAAAAAAGAGTCTAGACACATTTCTTTTTGGTAATATTTCGCTTATTATAATGTTGCCTCAAACTATCATTTATACCATATTTTACCGGTAAAAAAGCTACAGGAAAAAAAGCTTAATTAGCACCTTTCTAGTGCTGAACTAAACTAATGGGAATGAATCAGGGATACTATAAGAGACGCAACTTAAACATAAGAGCTAGAAGAGCAACTAGACACAGAGGAGAGAGGGGCCAAAAAATGAACACCTCGAAACTTTGAAATGGCTCACGAAGAAGGTTTTGATGCGGCAGATGCAGCCTTTTTCTTGGCAAAGTATTCTTCGGCACGTGCCAAGTTCTTGGCAACAGAAGGCTTAACCCACTTCTTTCGGCCAGGCATGATAGTGAGGGAACAGCCAGCAGCCTCGAGCTTCTCTTTCGCTGCCGCTGAAAAGGCACGGGCCTTTACATTTAACTTGACACTTAGTTCACCGTCTCCTAAAATCTGAAAGTGTGGTAACAACCAAACAGTTCACAACAGTTCGAGAAAACTTACAAGAAGACAAGCTCCACTTGTTGCTGCCCTAAAAATAGGGAAATAAAGGACTTTCTTACCATTCTTCTACAAAGCTAGAAGAACACAAGCATTACGTGATAAGCGCATATTATGATTAGAGAAGGCAATATTAAATGGATTCAACTTGCAAGCACTGACGACAATGATAAATCCACTTATATGCTTATGTTGGAAAAAGGGGGAATACAAGTTCCATTAAGCAGATATAGGGAGCAAGCATATGCTTCTGAATGAAATCTAGAAGATGGAGACATCATTGACAAAATCTTGAGGCCTAAGTGCTACAAAATGACCCTTAAAAAGGCCCCCACTAAGGGTAGAAGTGTTGCTCTAAAGGGGAAAAAGAAAAAGGCGATGCACCAAAGAAGAGCAGGGACAACCTTTATATGACTGTGGCAACACTTTAACCATACCCAGGCATGTTCATACCTTCAAAGGGAGTTTCCTTTCTCTTCCAGATGGGTTAATCAGACCCTCACTCTTTAAAGTCTCTAGAGACACCTCATCTCCTTCTTGAAATCCAGCTGCTTCAATGTGCTTTAGATTGACAGGAACATACTTAGGTAATCCCGCATGCATGCCTTGCCAGTAAAACAAAGAAACAAAAGGTCTCAGCAATTACATTGTATGAAGTATAATTAGGCACATGAGACGTAGAGACATTTTTGCCCACACAAAGCAAAGATCTTCTCTTCTAAAAAACCTGTGCCACTAGAATTTTCAACTGACGGAACAAACATAAGGCTGAACAGCAAAACGAGAGAACTGGTATACCACCATGTGCCTACACCTATATTTACACCACTCATTCCAATTTGTAGGTAAACTAAAAATTTCAGGGGAGATATGACTGCTGGCCCCTTGACATTTCCCACCATCTTTTGTTTATTGGTCATTGGTTCTTAAAGCTGTAGTTATTGCATATCAAGGATTCTCCCAAATGATGTACCACAATTAATATACATATAATGGCATCTTGTATGAATAAATTCATTCTGGTAACTCAGAAGTCTTGTATTCTAGATTGCCCTTACTCTGGATGACTCTTACTTAACTATTTCTATTAGGCGTGTCCATGAAATATTAGTGGTGCCAAGATCAAAGAGAGCAAGGAAGCATGGCTCCTTGACAATGATGGGACACCCACAAATCAGATTAGTGTTACATAAAAGCACTCATTACAGAAACCACAAGATTTGATTTAAAAGAGTGAACAATGTACCCTGTAAGGGTGGAAACAAGATTCGTTGATCATTCTCAAGATATACTTAAAAAGATAAATACTTGCTCAAAAACAGACATTAACTATATGACATGCGAGTGTAAAACACTATCAAGAAGACTTGCTGTTGTCCAACTTCTTGAGGATTTAGTATGCCTTGCCAATATCCTTGCTTCCATCAGAAATTTAACCAACAGGATATTTAAGCATGATCTGTCCCAAAATCACATGCACACCACTTAGGGTGGCATCATATTTTGCTTTTGGTAACTACCAACTAAAGTAGAAATAAAATGGAGACATTTGGTTAGAAATAGGGTCAAGATAACCCATGACTAGGCCAAACCATCAATGAAAAACTTCTGAATGAGCGTGATCGAACGTGACAAACTACCTTGGCTAGACTGCAATATCCAGGAAAAAAGGATCTGAAAGCTTTTTTTTATGGAGTTGTGTGAAGTCATCTCAACGTTCCATGTCTGATGCTGATTAAATGCAGCATGATCACAAACCTTAATGTGACAGGCAGCTTAAAATGACCAGAGACTAGTCCTTGTTGCAATAGATTTAATTTTTCTTTCTGCTTGCAGCTTTGTAGTAGAGCACTTTACCATGAAGTCTGTAATAGATAAACTATAAAGTAGCATGGGCAGTGTCGAAACAGTCAAAATCACGGTAAACTAGTCAGCTCAACCAGCTTCAGCTAGAAATAACTGGGACTCGGAATATACACATGGTAAAGCCCTTCTTGTTGAACCTATATCTCAAGGTGCAAAACTGAAAAATCCCAATGATCTCCACTACCCCCAATTTATTCGCTTTAACATAACTACTAAAAATTGCGTAACTACAGACCAAAAAAACAAAAACAATTGCATAACTGAGTAGCATGGACATGGAAAAAGCAATTGCTTTCTAAGCATATCTAAATAAAAAAGATGAAAGAGCCTTTTCTTTTTCTGTAGACCAAGCTAGAGAAAGAACAATTTACAAGAGATAATGCTTAAAACATGCATTTTTAACAATTCTACACCAATTCACAAGTTTGCTAGATCTGCACCAAAGCCAAGAGAGCAAAACAGAAAAAAGGTCCTAAAGATTAAACCCCCGATATTGCTTGTTCCTTCTTCACAGAATCATTTCTTCAAACAACTTCCAGACACTCATGGTCCCCAACTTTTTGCATGATCCTTGATCATGACATCCACCACCCACTACATTAACGTTATATCAACAAACCTCAACATATGCCCATCCGACAAAGAAACATCATTCCATCCCAAAATCGGACAAATACCGAGATATCTAAATCGCGACCGAACAAGGCAACAAGAAACAGGCACGGTTCATTACCTCCCGCAATGCCGCGCAATTTAGGGAGACGCCGGTAGAGCGGCATTTGACCACCCTCAAAGCCCTTCATGACGCCCGGTCCCGACCGGGACTTCTGACCCCTCATCCCGAACCCGCAGCTCGCTCCTTGACCCGCCGAGATACCCCTCCCCTTCCTCTTGGCCTTCTTCCTGGACCCAGGCTGGGGTCCCAAGTTGTCCAGCCTAAACCGGACGGGGTCGGAGGACGACGGCGCCGCGGCCGGCGGCGGAGACGCCTTGCCACTGATGACGAGCGGGGGCTTTTGCTGCTGTCCCCTCTTCAGCTGAAGCTTCGGAAGTGGGAACAAACAGGGTCTCGCTCTCAAGCTGCTGGGGTCGCCCTGCGAGGTGAAAGATTGAGGAGTTTGCTTCCAACAGTGAGAAGAGGGTCATCGTGCCCGAGAGAGAAGAGAGAGAGCGTACCTTGAATGAGGAAGAGGGATGACTGGAGACGAGGGCGAGCCTCGTAAACGAAGTCGAAGGAAGAGACAGAAGAGACGCCATGGGCGATTGTGAGCTGGAGACGGGGGTGTAAAGCCTCGCTCTGTTATCAGAACATCATGTCCTCCTAAATAGGGGTGTCAAAACCAAACACAATACCCGAACCGAAACACGAACCGACCCGACCCAAACACGAGATTTTCTTATTGGGTCGGGTTAGATCTCAACTTGTTTGGGTAACAATAAAAAGATTTGGGTATTGTTTGGATCTATTGGGCTCGGGTACCCAAGCCCAACCCAAACAATAACCCAAACTGTTCCCGATGGTTCTTGATGGCTTCGATAGACAGAAATGGCCAATTGGCCCAACTCTAGTATGGGCAATTCTTCCATAGATTGAAACCCTAACATCTCTCTTCCACTTTTCTCTCTCACGCTCTTTGCCTTTTCTGCAGTCTCTCCTCCATCCAGTCCAAGTCCGACGGCAATCGCACCAAGGCCGTCGACATGACCGGCCCCGGCGACGCCGCGGTGCAGGGGAGCGGCCGCAGCGGCGAGGGGAACAGGGGCGGGGGCTATGGTGGCAGGTCCTCGTCGGAGAAGGCGGCGTCCGCGGCATCGGCGCTGGGCTCGTGGTCCCGCCGAGGGGAGACCTCGAGGGAATGCTAGGCGGACATGAGATCCCGGGATCACCGAATATCGAGGGAATGGATCAGGGACTCCTTGGATGGCGGGATCTGTAGAGCTACGGCGGCGGACAACGGCCGCCACCGCCACCGCCCCCACGCCGTACTCCTTATCGCACAACACGGCCTGAGCCGGGGGCGAGTTCACCATCCTCTCCAACAGATGCCGCATCGTCCACCTCCCCAACATTTCGCCGCTACCGACGTCGTTGTCCGTCGGGCAACGAGGAGGGAAATACGGGGTCTGCTGCGGCTGCGGCGACTCGCGGGGCACGAGCTGAACAGCGCTCTTCACCAGCTGTTGTAGGTACACCACCTGCTTGTAGGCCTGCTCCAGCGTGGCGAGTGTGTCCATCTTTCTTTCTCCCTGCGGCATCACCAGCTGCTGGCGGCGGCGGCGGGTGCGAGGGCTGCGGTTGGAGCATTTCGAGGGAGCGGAGGAGGTCGGAGAGGCGGTGGAGGGGGAAGCAGAGGGTCGAGTCGTCGGCGAGCGAGAGGGAGTCAAACGGGGACGAAGCGGGAGCGAAGTCGGGGAAGCAGTGAGGGGGTTCTTGCTTGGGCATCTTGAGAGGGGACGGCGAGTATCGAAACAAGAGAATTCATTGTTTGAAACACAACCCGACCCGACCTGACCCGGCCTGATCGTGCGGTGATATCTTGTTCGGGTCTTGTTTCAGGTCGGGTCGAACACACATGGTCAATATTTCGGGTCGGGTCGGGTATCATGAAAACCCGACCCGATCCGACCCGTTGACACCTCTACTCCTAACAGATAAGATGCAGAGCGAGAGCGAGAAAGTGTGAGAGAGAAAACGAAAAAGAAATGGAAAATGGCATAAACAGTCTTAAACTTTGACCAAATATGTAATTTAATTTATAATTTTTTAATTATTTAATATAATTTCTAAACTTTAATTTAATGAATGATATAGTTCCTGAACTATAAATATGTGCTCTTTCTGGGTTGATGTTTGCTGGATCGAACAGGGATTCATTCTTGTTCTTCTTGAAAGATAAATATGTGCTCTTTCTGAGTTGATGTTTGTGTGTAGAAAGTTCCTGTCCACAGAAACAGATCGGAGTTAAAACCTAGAACCCGTCGATTGGGAAAGGGCAAAACAAAACAGAACCTTTGTAAATCACATCAGTTAATTTGGATGGCGTGCAATAGATGCCGGCAGTTTCAAGATCAAGATCTGGTCCGCGAGTTATGTCCAATTAATTACTTAATTTCGCGATAAAGAACTCGAGAGAGCATCTTGACTCCGATCCAGAAAAGACAAACAGAAAAAGAACAACCACAACGCTGGAATAATCGACAGGTTCGAATTTTTCCCCAAAAAATTCTCTTAGGAACCGATGGAACCGGCGAAATTAGCCCGATTCCATGGAGGGCCCATCACAAACAAAACGGGGCGAGAGCAAAGCTACTGGATTTGTGCCTTGCCGGCATGGATCTGGCAACATAGGGTCCCGGAAATGAAGCTAAAACAAGAAAAAAACAAAAAAACAAAACTTGGTCGCTTTTAAAGATGAATTTCAGGCAGGTGAAGAAAATGAAGGAGCCGCTTCGCATATCCCCCCAAATCTCAGCTCAGATATCAAGATCTGCCAATTGAAGAATCCGAACGTACTAATTATCAAGAAGAAACACACAAGATGACCCGTCAAAGCCCCCAAACATCTTAGAAGCGAAAGCTTCTTCCTTTCAAACACAAACCACCCGCAAGAGAAAGAGAGGGAGGGAGAGAAAGACAGAGAGAGAGAGAGAGTACCTGAGCTAAGGGGGGTGTTAGGCAGGAGGCACAAAGAAGGGCCATGTAGGAGAGGCACGGTTCAACTTATAGAGGAGGAGGAGGAGGGTGGGTTTGATGGCGAGAGAGAGAGAGAGAGAGGAGCGAGAAGAAGAAGAAGAACAAGAGAATCCGCAAGAAAGAAAAATAATATGGAGAGAGAGAGAGAGAAGCAAAAGCGTTCTCGTGTGATTGGGCAACAGCGATGACAGAGGAGCGAGAGAGAGAGAGAAAAGGGGAAGTCCTGCAAATGCAAGGCTGCAACGTCTCCGTCTCCGTCTCCGTCTCAGTCCCACAGTCTCTCTCTCGCCGCAACTAAGGGCATTTGGTAACGCTTTTATTTCTGAAAACAATTTTTTTTTTAAATAAATTTTTTTTATTTTTATTTTTTGTAAAAGTTTCTGAGCAAAATAATACGTTTGGTAACTGTACAAAATTTATAGTCCTAATTTTTTACATTCAAATCTATATCTTTTATTTAACTATAAGTACAAGTTATAAGTGAAAAAAATCAATAAACATGGTTTATTGGTTTGTCTAATCCTTTTTAGGGGTTTAAAACCCATTTTAATCCCTAAACTAAGGAATATTCAAAAATACCACTTGGGCACCTAAAAAATTTAAATTTCACTCAAAGTGGGTGGCCACAGGTATTCTAAGCCATTATGTGAATTTTTTTATATTTTTTTGGGGTAAAATTTATTAAAATATTTTACTTTCCCTAAATCTGTTTCTTTTTATTTTTCCGAAAAATTTTTATGAAATTTTTTTAATTTTTTCAATTTCGGAATTTTGCAAATATTTAAGGGTTTTCTGAGTTTTTCTGATTTTTATGGATTTTCTGAGAATTTTTCTGATTTATATGAATTTTGGGAATTTTTTAATTTTCTAATTTTTTATGGGATTTTTCTGAAATTTTTCTAATTTTTATGAATTTTCGGAATTTTTTTAATTTATTCTAAACCATTGTGTGAATTTTTTATTTTTTATTTTTTTTGGGGAAAAGTTTATTAAAACTTTTTACTTTCCCGAAATCTGTCTCTTTTTAATTTCCAGAAAGCTTTTTATGAATTTTTTTTTAATTTTTTCAATTTCGGAATTTTGCAAATTTTTATGGGCTTTCTGAGTTTTTCTGATTTTTATGGATTTTTTGAGAATTTTTTTGATTTTTATGAATTTTTGGAATTTTTTTAATTTTTTTAATTTTTTTATTATTTCCGCCGAGAATGGACCGGACCGTTGCTTTGAGACGGTTTGCAGACGACGGAGGATGGAGGAGGAGCTGAGGTCGCGGCTTGAGGACCGGACCTTTCTATTTCTATTTCTATTTCTGGGAACAAAGAAGTAGATTTTTTCTACTTTTTATTTCTGCTCTAAATATATTTCTTGGCCACTTTTCTATTTCAGGAAATAAAAAAATAAAATGCGTTACCAAATGGATTTCTGTTCTTTTTTTTGTTCTAGGGAACAGAAAAATAGAGAAATAGAAGTGTTACCAAACGGGCCTTTATTGACTGCTTTTCCGCTGACTTCTTCCTTCCCTCACGTGACTGCTGCTGTTTCTGCTGAACCCATATTGTTGCTGACTTGCTGCTGCTTCTGTTGCTGCTTCACTGCTGCTGCTGCCCATGCCTTTGACTCTCACCCACTCCTCTCTCTCTTCTTCTTCTTCTTCTTTTCTTTTCCTTCTTGGCAGCTGCTGCTTCTTCGTGTGTTCTGTTTCTGCTCCTCTGCTGCTGCTGCTTCTTCTTCTTGTTTCGCTCCTCATTTTCAGCCCGCCAGACCAGCCCTTTCTCACCGGAAACAGCCACGCCGAGAGCCGCTCCACCCCGTCACCAAACCACCGCCACCGCAGCTCCCCTCTGGCCGAGCAGCATCGCCCAGACGCGCCCCACAGCCCCCGTCGCCGGCTGTTTTCCAGCCAAGTTTCTGGCTTCATCGCTCGCCGGTTGCACCCACTTGTCCGCTGCCGTCCCAGCCACCAAGACGCCACCACCAACCACCATTTCGTCCCCGGTTCAGCACTCAAGCAGCGCCGAACAGCCGCCCACAGACGGCTGGTTTCTACTGGAACGCCAACTTCGTCGTCCGTCGTCCGTCCCCGCCGTTGCAGCTGCTGGTCCGCTGCTGTCCAGCCACCTAGCCGACACCACCGGTCACCATTTCACGCCCGGAATAGCCCCCAAGCAGCCCCGACCAGCCACCACAGCAGCCGCTCCTTCGCCGAGCCCGGATCGCCGCCGTTCGTCGCTTGTAATGCAAAACCGGAGCCGCCACGAGCGAGCTCGCGTCGTCGCCGTCATTCTCGTGTTAACGTCATCATTAAACAAGTAAGTTAACCCCCAATCTCTCGTTTAGGGTGTTAAACTTGCTTAGGGCAGTTTAGTTTAAGTTTATGGCTAGTTAAGTGGGATTATGAGGTAGGTTATCAGAAAGTCCGATAAGCTATGATTATTTGGTGTGATAGGCTATTGTTGGGTTTGCGATAAGCTATCGCGTATTTGTTAATAAGTGATCAATTATTTTATTATTATTGATTATTTTATTAAATATATTAATTTTCGGAATTAAATATTAATATTTTATTATTAAAAATATATTAAAATAATATTAAAAATAATTATTTTCCGAAA